GTGGATGAATATTATAGGCAGGTAGATCAGATAGTTCCCAAGGCATTTTGTTGTAATCCAAACTTGACCAAAACTTCTGATTACAGATCTTGTTTCAGTGCTTTTATCCCTCTGTCTTGTTTGTGGTCCCTCCTCTCATTGCCTGTAAGAGGGAGAATATGCTAATGCCATTGATCTATAATCAACAGCAGTATGAAATCTTTAGCAAGTGTGTGAGTCTGGTTCATCTCCATTTCAGGTCATAAAGCTGGGGTTTGGATTTGTTTGTGGTTTTTGTTTTGTTGGGTTTTTTTTTGTTTTTCTTTAATCTTTTTTTTGTTGTTTATTTGTGGTTTTGGGGGTTGGTTGGTTTGGGATTTTTTTCCTTTTTTTTTTTTTGTGTTTTGGGGGGGTGCTTGGGGTTTTTTGTAGGTTTGTTTGTTTGTTTGTTTTGTCTTACTGTTTTTTTTCCCTGCCTTTGTTCTCCTGCCTCAGTCTTTATGGCAGCAGGAGGAGCTTGGAGAGGGAGTTAAGCTCTTTATTTTTCCATCTTGAGCAGTGTGTTTCTGCATTATTAGCTTCATGGTTATGATGAAAGACTGCTCTAGGAGAGGCAGCTGTTGGGAGACAAGTGTTGAAAGGACCATCAAATTCAGATAAGTATTTCCAGTACAAACTCCTCAACAGAAAATATGTCCCCTTCTCATGGGCTTCTCCATGTCAGTGAGTAGGCAATGTGAGAACTCCAGGTCATGAGAAGTCATCTTGTGCACAGGAAATTTTACCACAAAGTGCCCAGCACATTTTTTGTGAAGAGGGTAAAGGTTAATTTGGGGTAAAGACCATTTTTAAGCTGTTTCAGTTTCTGCTGGTAAAGTGGCAGAGGAGGCTGAGAGGGTTTGACTTCAAACTTCCCTGCAGCAAAACTCAACATTTTCCATGGCATTGGGCTGTGTTCAACTTGATAAAAGCTGTTCTGCAAAGTGAAACAGAGCTGTGCTTTTTCCTTTTTAGCTAACAGATATGTGTGTTACAAATGCTCACTTCCACCTTTAGATGTGAGTATTTTTGTGCTCCTAGAAATACTAAAGAAATAAAAATACTGCAATGACAAGTAAAATTAAAACAATATCTCATTAAGAAGAATGCTAGTTATATTTCCATTTTGAATATAGACAAATAGTTTTAATTTGCACAGAAAACTAAGTGGCCAAAATTGCTGTTTCCTGTTAAAAGTACTCAAATATATTAAAGAGGTAAAATTGGCTTTTTTGATTCTTTGTGTTTGCTGAAGTTTGTAGAGGGGAAGGATCAACAAGAAATTTTGTGACTTGCAAACTTATCTGCAGCTAAGTGGGACCTGTGGACAGGAAAGCAAAAAGAACGAAAGCCACTTTCTGGTGCTGAAATATCCTTTAAATAGCACTGGAAGGTTGCATTTGGGGATTTTCACATTGCACAAATACATTTGTTGTATCTTGCATTTGATTTCATTTTCTGGTGGAAGCCTTTTCCCTGTGCTTGCTGCAGTTACTCAGAATCCTCAGGGGAGCTTCAGAGAGTGACAAGAAGATTCTTCAGGCCAAACTTAGTATTTTTGTGTTTGTTAATTAAGGTGCTGGTGTGTGGGAGAAGGGGACATTTAGCCAGGTTATGAGGGGAACCTAGACTTAAGAATCAGACTGAGAGTGAGAGATACAGCCTCTGTGGAGCTGACAAATTGGCACCTGCAGAGTGGGGGGAAGTAATGTCAGTGGGAGGCAAAGGTGGATGCTGGGATCACTTGAATTCTTTTGCCTTCCCAAGGCCTAGATCATGGAATGAATGGACTGAAACTGTTGCTAACCTATGGATCTGCAGTAGACGTACTCTGTGTTGCTGCCTCCATGAGTTTGGCTGGAAGGATCTGACTCAAAGTGCCAAATTCATGGCTTTGACTTTTCCTGTTTTGATCTGTGTGAGATTCAGGACATTCAGACTCTCATTAAATGAGACAGAAGAGTGAAGTGCATGTCAGACTGTAATTCTTAATTCAAGAAGGTCTTAGCAGAGTTTAGCTGGGAGCTGCTGTCTTTTGAGCTGATGCACTCTGCAGCCATGAGTGATAGGGCTGATCCAGACCTTCACCTCAGATCCTTGCATCGTTCATAAAGTTCCTTGCATCATCTTTGAAACAGCTGTTGGAGGTTGCTGAAATTTCTGAAAGATTGGGTTTGAGCCAACATGTCAAATCTTGTTTCACTACCAAATTTTTCTATTGTTTTAGGTAATAAATAAATAATAAAACACTTCCTGCTTACTTCTTATACTAGAGATGGTGCTCTTACTCAAACTTGTAACTTAGCATTATCAGGCATTTCTTTCTTTCCATTATTTTGTCCATATTGACATGGTTAATAGAATGTTAGTTGGAAACCAGGCCATGCTTCAGATCCAAAATACTGTTTCAGGCAATATTCACTTTCATGATTTTGTATATTGTTAAAACACTTTCAATCAGAGAAGCAATTTATGAAGATGTTATTTGAAGAATGCAGATGGGTGAAGGAGCCCTCTTGATGTTTCAAAATGGATTTTTCAGGAACAAGAACCCTAATTGGTAAGGTTCAGGGAATCATCTTTACAGTCTGAAGAGCCTTGAGACTCTAAAACAGATTGCAATGCACTAAGTAACCCATAACTACTTTTTCATGCTCTCTTGGAGATGGTGGTAAACTTTCAGTAGGATTACATCTGCAGTCTTTTTTTTTTGATTTTTTAAGCATTTAAGGAAACTGTCACAATCTCCCTTTTTGTCTGTTATTCTCTTCATGTAGATATATCAGTACCATTTAGCCTTCCACTGCTGTTGCATTTTTTGCTCTGGTATGCCTCTTTACCTGATCAAATACCGTAAGCCTAGAGCACTATGGCTGTAGAAAAGTGAGGTCTCAAAGTAGACTTTGATTCAGTCAGTAATTGGAGTGTCCTCTTTCTCCTGCTTATTGATGTGTGAATTTGAAAAATCCTGTTTCCTGCAGTTGTGTAAGGAGTGTCAAAAAGTAGATGTTAGGCTGAAATAAGGTTTAATCTCACATCACATGTTTATTTCAAGGGGTAGTTTGGTAGATTTTTTTTTCTAAGAAAAGAAAGAAGGGAACAGACCAAAGCACTTAGCCAAAACAATTGGTGAGATGAGGAGAATATTATTGCTTGTAGTTGTACAAATTAATCATCAGGGGTTTATTCTGGGGCTGAGAAGATCATCATTTTTGCTTGAGATCTTTCAAGCAGACTGAGACCAAACGTCCCAAACTTTCAGTCCCAGAAGACACAAGGTCATGTAGCTGAGTAAGGATGGCATTTGCTTTCTACAACTAATTGACAGGACTGAGGATAGCAGGGCAAAAGTGGCATCAGATAAAGACCCTTTCTTCAGGTCATACGCTTTTGTGCTAATATTGTGCCAAATAAATATTCATTTAACAGAAGGGAGGCTTATTCAGAAGCCTTTTCTGAACTGTGGATGTGGTCTTTACTGATACTGGAGGTCAACAACAGCTTCTCATGTTTCTGTTGAAAGCTGGGCTCACAGCAAAGCTTCCTGAAGTGCAAAGCTGCACAACTTGTCAACATCCACTCTCTGCCATTTTATTAAGGGCAAAGCCAAAGGCTATGTGCAGATAAATCATGCCATCTTCAGGAGAGGTTGCCTCAACATGAATCATCATGAAACATCAGCCTTTGTCATTGCTGTCTGCTTGAGTGGTGCCAGTCTTTGGAAACCATCCATTTAAGGATAGGTACCATCTAACGAAACTATGTGATCTCTTAATACTATCTTTAATTTGGTAAGAATGCTACCTCCACTGGTTTTTATCAAAAACATGATCATAAAATTGTAATTGTTGAAACAGTCATCATTCAGGAGAGGGACCAGAGCACCTGTTGTTTGGCTATGCATTGGGTAAAGGAACTCACCTGCCTGAGCTAGCACAACTGTAGGAGGGATCCAGTTTGCCCAGCTGCAGCATCAGAACTCGGCGAGTCATCTAAATAATTTTTATAATTAGAGAGAGGTATCTCCACGGGGTGACTCATCCCACCTACCCTGGGAAATTGGGACTTATTCTCTGGAAGTGCCTGTGTCTCACCACTGCTTATACAGAGAACCTGAGTGGTGAGTTGAGATCAGACACCTGCCTCCTATGTTCTTTAGGTAAGATAAAATCTTTCTGTAAGTGATGAGAGCTCATGTTAAATTCTTAAGCAGTCTTGGGTAATTGGTAGGGTGATTAAATCTAGAAGCTGAGACTGGAGTTCCCCATTTCTCTTACTGTAATATGGGATAAATGGGAGGTCTTAAAAGACATAGCTTTTTAATGTAAATGTACTTGAATGAGGTGGCAGTATTATGAAATATAAACCTTCATTTAACCTCTAGTAAGCTTAAAAATAATTTGCTTTTACTGTATATTCATTGTCAGCTGTTTGTAGAAGGCTCCCTCACATAGTATTTTCACCCAATGGTGTAGGAGACCTACCTCCTGATCTTTTGAACTTCTGTGTTTTGACATGGGATCTTTTCTCATGACGGTAGCAGTTATAACTCTTCCAAGCAACAAGGCTTTCAAAGTTTAGCTGTAGAAAAGCAAGCATATTAACAAATGGTGTCTTATACTCAACATAGCATATACATTCCTTTTTCTTAATAGCACCAAGCCTTTTGGTAAACATGTTAACGTATGTTTCTTACACCTGTTCTACCCACTCACCAAATGCTGACCTGAAGTCAAACCTTTTCAGCATAAGCTTATTTCTTTGTGCTCCTACTCTGGCTGGGTATTGCCATGACTAATGCTGAGTGAGGTCTGTGAGATCATACAGTTTTTCTAATTTCAGTAGACTTTATTGTGAGCACTGGTAATCAGAAGTTAAATTTACTGTTTAGTGTGAGAATGGTATCTGCCTACTGGCTGTGATTTATGCAGTATAAAAATACTGTGAATTTATGATGATTATTTTGTTAATTTTTTTTTTAGATGTGGATTTAACTGATATTATGACATACAAAATCCCTCCCCACATGAGGAAAAGAGCCCTCTGTAAGTATGGTACTTGTAAGTAATGTAAAGATGTATCATTAGATGATAAACTAATATTGCAATTTAAATGAATAATTGAGGTCTTAGAGAGCCTTGGAAAATTACTACACTCAGTAATATTTAAATAGAAATAGCTTCCAAACAAATTCGATACCTGACCTTCTTTTAACTTCCCAAGGATTGACCCTTTTTAAGGACGTCAGGAATTGCAGAGATTTTAGCTGAAAAGCAGCCAGGCTGTTGAACCTAATGGCTGTCTGACCTACCTTGGTGAACATTAGTTATTCTCTAATACATTATTTGTAGATTTTGGGGATAGGGACTATGGCATCCTGTCTAAATCTCTGCAAGTACATTTTGTAGGTCTTTGCATCAGGCAGTTAGGTTTAATAGACTTACAGACCATTAAACATCACATTATATAAAGAACCAACCAAGGAAAGCCTATTGCTGAAAGAAGGGAAACAAATTGCTGAAAGAAGGGAAACAAATAGGAGAATGGAAAACCTTGGAAACTGTCAAAGAATTTTGATGGAAGTTTTGTTTGAATAAATACTAGGACATTCAGTACTATTTGAGAAACATTGGTTATTCACTAGCCACTTAGACATTAATAAATACAATAAAGCTTTTTTACTGTCAGAAATTAGATCTCTAGGCAGAGTGTTGTTTTGTATGTTGTCACTGACTTTCAGCGCTTTGGGGATGGGATGTTCAGAGATCTCAATTTCTGCTTCTTCCATTCAAGAATTTATTTATTTTTTCCTATTTGGAATTGACTAATGATATAGTATGTAAAATTGACTAGAATCAAATTCTTAATTCCAAGTGGCAATTAAGAATTGCCTATTATGGCAATAGACTGGCCTATCTTGTAGACACAACCCAAATTCCTTCCTCCCTAAAATGAGCTCCTAACTTAAAATCTAATTCCTAAGCTGATGTAGATGGCCAGGACTGTTCAGTTCAGTTGTTTTAGATGCTTAACTTGCATTGGAATTTTTGATGTCCAGTGAAGCTGTGATGGTTTAGAAGCTGCTTGAGTACCCCGTGGAGAGAGGAAGATGCTTTCAAAATCCTCCAGAGGGAAATGCTGACTAATTAAATTCAAAGACTTAAGCAGGTTGAATGTTCCTTTGGAGGACTTCAGAGAGATTTAAAGTGGTGTTTTAGAACAAAATATAAGCTAGGTGCTTTATTTAATTAGAATGCATCTTGCTCATTGTTAGGTCCATCAACCTAAAAGGAAAAATACTCTCCCATTTTGCAGTGTGGTTCAAATGTTTTGTAGAATGAATGAGAGGCTGCTGGGAAGGTGTTAGTTACTCTGTTAGTACTTTTCAGGTTTATCAGATTTTACTTCTCACTTGCTAAATTAATGAAGTTTGTCATAAGACAAAAATTCCATAGCTGCAGTGATAGCATGGTTGATTGAGGGAACATTCACATTTAAAATCATAACCAAATTTTCTGTAGGCTTTCTTTCCTACTGTAATTTTTCACTTCATAGGCATTGTGAGGGGAAGAACTGTCATGGATGTCTATAGTCCAGAAAAATGTAGGGTGGAGGAAAAGCACAGATGCTGCCATCTGCCACATCAGCAGACATCTCTTTTTGCATTTTCTTTCCACCACCATCCCAGAATTTCAACTCTCTCTGGCTCAGTAGGCTTTATTTATAGTTTTCATTATCCCTTTCTCATGGCAGTAGAGCCTAGAACAGCACAGTGTTCACTGTGCACAACATTTCCTGCCCTTTTGTTCTGCACTCCACCAACCTGTTGTCCCTTTGTCCTTTTCCCTAGTGCTTCCTCTGCAGACAGAGGCCCCATCTGACAAATTTATTTGTTCTCCTCAGGGATTAGAAACCAGGAAACTTCATTAGGGATGGTTTAATAACTTAGACAAAGGAGAAGAGCAGCTGGTCTGTTAACGTGTCTCTCTCAAACCCCATTCTCTGACAGAAAATCTTTCTTGCACATGGTCCAGTTTTCAACAATTTGATGTAAAATGCTACAGATGTACAGTTCATGCAAAAGTATTGTGCATTGGATCAGCCTTTAGCATTTTATTTGAATGACCAGAGATGATTTTATGGCAGTAGGTTTGCTGCTGTTGAAAAGATCAGTAGCTGATAGCAGTCAAAAATTTTGGTGTATGTTTTTTGCTTTCTCTGTTGCTTAGCATGGTAATGTTAGAGGAATAGCAGCTGGAGACAACCTGCTGCACTCTGCTACTCTGTGAGACAAACATCAGTAAAGCCAAGCAGCAAGAAAAGAAGGGCCCTTCATGAGAAAATGACAGCAAGAGAACACAGCCCCCGCCATGGTGCCAAATCCCGCACTGTGCAGAGGGCCTCCACCATTGATGTCACCTCTGACATGGTTGGCCTTTCTCTGACAGGTTTGTACCTTCCTTGCAGCTATTGCTCTGTTGCTGCTCCTTTCAGAGCAAGCTTTGTACTAATGTTGTTTTTTTTCTTTTAATTGCTTGAAGACTTAGACCTTTCTGGTTATCTGGAGGTAATGAGATAAAGGAATTATGCTAAAAAATTCTAAAAATCTTGAATCTGCTACTTTTAAAATAGACAAAGCATTAAAATCAGAGAGGGATTAAAAAAAAATAATTTAGGTTTTTTGTAGTTATGTTTATCACTCAAAAATAAACAACAGAGAAAATTAACAAAATAATGTCATGTTTAGGAATAGTCTTGGCAACCCCCTTGTTTGACAATGTATAAAATTTTCAAGAGAGTTCAGGGAGCCGAGGCTTGTCTCCCATATCTTTTATGGTTATTAAATTAGGATTCTAACCCTCAGAGGCTTTCCTTCATTAGTGAGAGACAGGTACTTTCAAATTTTGTCCTATTAACTACCACAGATTTAATAATGTGGAGTTAATACTGGCTCAGGCTTTAATCCTGTTGTTTTCTATTGATATTAAGATTTCAATATTCCCATATTGCATCTAATCTCACATAGCTTTACATATTTTAATGTGTTTTATAAACTGAGGTAATCCCAGATTTTCCAAATAATTATTAGATACCAAGGATTACCAGATAAATGTTTTAGATATCAGTCATGGCTCATTGAATTAAAGATTTATTTTTTTTTTGTATAAAATGTCATTTGTTTTTCTGTGTGATTCCAACTTCGGGAAAGAATTCATGTGGCAGTGATGTGAATTGGCTAATCTTGTGTTAATTTTTCTGATTTACAGGAAACATTCAGGATCCAGATGAGCCGATTTTAGAGTTCAGTTTAGGTAGGCTTAGTGATTTTTATGCTAGTTTTGATAATGCATGCCATTGAATATGTGTGAGGTTTTATAAGTGTTGATTTTGAAGTGCATTTCATATAGTAAGGTTTGCAACTTTGCTCTGATTTTTATGGAGATGTGGTACAGTTTTCATGCTGCCTGTACAGTATCTTTTGATAATCAACCAGCAGTTCCATTTTGTGAAGTTTCTAAAAGTCTGTAACTAAAACATCAGTCTTATAAAATTTTAAATATTTACTATGTGAATATTATTATTAATTGTTTACTTTGTTTATGTGAAGATGCAGTGAAACTGCCTTCACTGTCAGTAAATCAGCAGTCCAGATCTTCAAGCAAACTGAAGATTTGCTGGCAACACCATTTTAGAGCAGAATGTTTTCTAAGAATTGAGAATAATGCACAACTTCTTTCCTGTGGTCTTTGCTGTCAAGTGATAATGTGAGATGCAGAAGTGATCTGAATTCTCAGATGGTTGAATTTGGACAGGAAGCTTGTGCATTGACTTACCTCACTGGAAAAATAAGTAAAAAATATTTTCTTCATGAAAATTCAGTCCATAGTTTCAACTGCAGGATGGTTTTCTTGGCTTAATAGTGGTCTAGTATTTGGAAAGTTACGCTCTTAACAGTGTGCTAATGAAAAATTAGAAAATTTTCTCAGTTGTGTGCAATTGTGTTATGAATAATAATCTTAACAAGCAAGAGATGAATAATTTACTTCAATTATTTTCAGATAAAAATATCTAGAATTAGGTACTTCAATTATTTTCAGACAAATTAAAAATATCTAGAATTACAAAGCTGTTTAGCTAAATTTCAGAATTAGCTTCTTGCATGTAGCTGAAGCAGAGTTGGACCACGCCGTAGTTACCTGTATCTAGCTAGATAGAATTTGGCTCTGAAGTTTAATGTAGTTGTGTAGAGTCACTTGTTGAAATTTTTGTAAGTTGTTTCCTACTCACTGTAGTCCTTTCCAGCAGTTAAATGCACAGTAGCATTTTAGAGGAAATAAATTGCTGTTATCTTACAATTACAAGCTGGTGTTCCTCAGTAGTGCTGCTTGATCAATGTTCAGGCGCTTCTGTTGGTTCTCCCTGGGCAAATGCCATTTGATAATGGGCTTAATGGAGCGTGACTTTGAATCAAATGCAGCCACCCCCATGAGATTACCAGGAGAAGACCTATGAATGTGGGCTGTTAAATTGCAGCTCTAGAACTTGGAGCCAGACTGAGCTGATTGCATGTTTACTGTTTGCATGTACAAAGGTGAGCAGTGTCTGTGTTTATAGTGTAGTGATGAATATTAAGCCCTTTGTGATTTGATTGCTCAGGGTATATAATGTAGTTTTATAAAAATGTAGAGTCTTACAAAAATATGAAAAAGATCCTGAATCTAAATTTATTTATCTCTTGCATACCCAAAGCTTGCAGTGAGCTGCTAACTCCATCGCTAGATCGAAAACCAAATAGTTTTGTAGCAGTGAGTGTAACTACACCTCCCCAGGCATTCTGGACGAAGCATGCACAGACAGAAATTATTGAGGTAAGTGCTGAGGTACTTCTAGATTAGGTTTAAAATCAAAGCTAACACAGGAGTAATTTCTTCCCTAATAAATATCACCTTACATTAACTTTTGGCTTTTTGTTTATGATTCCAGGGAACAAGTAATCCTATCTTTCTAAGCAGCATTGCCTTTTTCCAAGACTCTCTTATCAATCAAATGACACAAATCAAACTCTCCGTGTATGACGTCAAAGATAGATCTCAGGGAACAGTAAGTTTTCTTTATTCTGTTGCCTGACCAGTCAGTGTGGAGCAAAGAAATGAGAGCCAAAGAGATGAAATTAGTAGCTTCTCTGGAAGAAAACAACAGGATAGCAGCACTGATCATATAGAAAATAAGATAGGTAGGGAAAGGAGGAACAAATGAGATTGGCTTGGCAGAATGAAAAGCATTGACAGTTTTCCCAAATAAGGCTTCTCTGCAGCAAGTTTGGAAACCATAAATTAAAAAGGTCCTGTCACTTGTGCTCTTACATTGCGGACATCTTTAGTGAACTAGATAATGAATAGGATCCAGCATCCCTAACTGAGGCTTCTAGCGTGTGTCAAAAAGCCACAATGAAACTGTGCTTCGGAACAGACCACCTGAATTCCAGGAATCACCCTGCCCTGATACATTAGATTTTTTTCAAGGGTAAGGTTTGCTCCTTTACTGAAAAAACTTAGTGTCAGCACTCCCATGTTGCTACTTGGATCTGTGGGCAATACAGGCCATTTATTCACAGTCTGTTGTCCAGAATACTGTTTCAGGCCTCATGTGTCTGCTCTTCTATGGCTTCTTCAGGGGCAGAAGAGCTGTCACTCTCTGTTCAGTGCTTCATGGGGAAGCTCTAGGGTAAATTGAATACCTCCAGAGGAAGTAAGTTCTTCAGAAGGAGAGAAATTTGGGTCAAGGATGCAGCCTGAGCCCTGTTTAGTCATTGCTTTCAGTGTTCCTGTATTGCTTTGCCTAAGCTCATATGTATTGAGGTGCCTCCATGTATATCCTAGAGAAACAAAAAATGCATATTTTCCTTCAATGGAAGAAAAACTTTTATAAATTTTAAGATATTTTAATTAGTTATATATGGCATATTTGGTTATGGTTTTGCTCATGGACTTTTATGCATAATAATTGTATTTTGCACTTCAGTGCTGTGGTTAAAGCCTTTGCTCCCTGTAAAGGTAAATACAATTCTGCAACTCATCTTCTTTCAGATGTATTTGTTGGGTTCTGGGACGTTCACTGTAAAGGATCTTCTTCAGGAGAAGTACCACAGGTTGCACATAACACTAAGGTTAGTAATATTTTCCTTCCTTTAAGTGTTAATTCTTCAAAACATGCTTAAGATATGATGAAAACCTCTTATTTAATGGCTAAGTTGAAAATGGACTTAATTAAACTCCCTTGTTTTGATATCAAGTATATTCTGATTAGCAAAGTGTGAATACATGCATTTCTTCTCATTTTTATATTACCCTCAAATGTATAAGCTGAGCACTACCTAGGCTGCCTTCAGTTCTGTACATAATCCTTATGGAATAAGGGGAATGTATAACCCATTATAAAATTACCCATTATAAAATTACTCCAAATGAAGTTGAAAAGCTTCCTGTTTAAAATGTTCTTTAAGTTTGAAGATTAATAGCCTTTTATAAGTGTCTCCTTGTTGATGAACAGGTCCTCCTCCAAAAAAATCTCAACGCAGAGTATTTGTTGCAGGTCGGCTGAAAGTGACCGTGTTGGTAACATCACAGTTATTGGATGGCAGATGGAGGAAAAATCTGACCAAAGGCCTCCAGTGACAAGGTCACCTGATACAATTAATGGAAGGGTGAGTATGAGCATTGTACCAAATTCAGAAGAATGCAGATTTATTGCCATCATTGAAATTAGCTAGGTTGACATCTGCTATCAACTTTCCTGTCCCTCTTGATACCTGGTAGTGCTTTCCATTTTCAAAATACTGTAAGGAGCAGCCTAATGATGATAAAGCCATTTTGAGTTTTGCAGAGCTCTTGGTGCTCATGTGTGAGATTAAAAGTCTTGGGGAAAAAATTTAATTTAAAATGATTAAGCTTTAGTGTCAAGTACTCATGTTCTTCATTGGAAGAGGCTTCTGGTACTGTTCATTGGTGCACTTGTTGCATGGATAACTGGTTTCAGAGACATGTGATATTTCATTTCAGATCATGGATTGGAAGGTACCATTAAGCAAAACTGTAGTGAGGATGCTAGGGAATTCCCAGAATTTAGTAAAACTGAAAAAGTTACTTGACTACTGGATTTTTTTTTTCCCTGATCCCCAAATAATTGTTTGAGAGTAGATGTTTGCAGCACTTTCTCAACCTAGACATATATTTAATCCTGTAAAGCTTGTGTTTTGAGCATCTTGGTGATCACTGCACTCTAATATGTGTATTAAATTCACAGTGTGCAATAGAATCCCTTTTTATCCTCCAGATCTGTTGATGCCTACTGATGCAGTACCTGTAAGGACTCTGGAGCTGTGCTAGCATAAGTAGTTGAAAGGCTGAATAAATATTTTTGTGGCATTTTTAACTGTGCAGTAGAAGTAAATAGGAATGTTTAGGATTTGTTATTCCAGCCTGCAATATTTTTTGTCCACAGTAAAAATATTTGAAATATTAATTTAAGGCTTGTGTGGAATTGAATATTTCTTTGAAGTCTCTCTGATAGGTCATCACTGCATATTGCTTGGGCACTGAGGTTTCATTCTTTACTATTTCTGGTTTTTCTTGGCTTTGTTTTTGTTCAGACTGTGTTGCCAGTTGATGAAAGTTTAACAGAATCCTTAGGAATCAGATCCAAATATGCTTCATTGCGGAAGGATGCACTACTGAAATCTGGTAAGCTGCCCTGGGCTGTAACAAGTTAGCTTTAGGTATCAATAAAAACTAATCTCTCCCTGTGTGCCTGTGGCCCCAGGGCATTTCAGCAGATGTTTCATTTGAATAGGAGCAGGCTGCTGACTGAGCAGTCCTTTCAGGGTCATACCAGAATAAGTAATCTTATTATATGCACTATTCTATATTGTAAAAACAGCAGAAGCAAACTTTTGCCATTAAGTTGACTGTAATATAACATTTTTCATGCAATTCCATAGTCCTAAGCAATTGTTGCAGGGTGAGGAGAAGGACAGAGGAAAGCAAGCTGCTTGAAAAAAAGAATCTTGCAGAAAGGTTAGTTTTCCAGCAAATGATTGCACGAGAGGAAAATGCACAGTACATAGACAAAAGAAAAACCAAAAAACATTTTAAAAGGTGAATATGTATTGAATTTAATTTCCTTAGCCGTGTAGTAAGTAGTCTGGAGTGGAGGCTTTTCCTGCAAACACTTGAAGAATGGTCATTGCAGAATGACCATGTTTGCAAAAGGTAGACTGATGTCTGGTTAAACCAGATCTTGACAGCAGAGTGTTTCAGCATGTTAGTAAACTGAAGCCATTTACTTTAAGAAAGAAGATACTTTGTACACTTTTAAGTCAAACTGTAGGCTTAAATAGTATAATTTTATTTCTATAGTGTTTGGTGGTGCCATTTGCCGAATGTATCGTTTCCCAACCACTGATGGAAACCACTTGAGAATCTTGGAGCAGATGGCAGAGAGCATCCTGTCGCTGCACATCCCTAGACAATTTGTGAAGCTGCTTCTAGAAGAAGATGCAGCAAGGTAAGTTTTGGGATGGTTTGCATGTGCAGTAATACAGCAGTGATGTGTTTGAGTTTTGAGTTACAAAGGCATAAATATATCTGTGTTAATGCACTAACTACTCAGTGAGATAAAAAATGGCTTTGAGAGTCAGAAGAGTTGTTTTGAATGAAAAACAAAACAGAATAAAAGCAAGTAAAATGAAATGCTGTAGTACAGTAATGACATTGTCTCATTTTAGGAGGTGGGAGGGAGAAGGAAATCTGTTGAGCATTTTGTAGGTTTATTCTGAATTTGCTTCTTTTTGAAGCAATTAATTCTCTTCCAGGCAACATACTCATTTATGAGTGTTTCTTCCCTACATTTGTAGGCTGTGGCTCACAAATCTAATGGTTTATGTATGCTTAATAAAGACCAAGATTAGAATGTTAAAGAATTTTAGATGTGTTTTTGAGTAATGGGCTTTTATTTCAATTGTGTTTGGATTCAATCCTATAGACCTTAACTAAGTCTGACCTTAATTAAAACTAATTTGTGCTCTTATTATTGTATATTAGGACATTTCAGTTCCTTTGTGATACTGTGAAATAAAATCATGGGTTAATCCATTCATTTTAGGTATTTTAATATTTTGTGAAAATTATAAACTCTCACGGGAAGATGGCAGAGACTTTTTGTAATGCATGGGAAACCTATTTGAGTTTCTGGACTTCACATTGATTCTTTTTTCTGATGTTATGTTTTTAGTGATGTGTTCTTAGATTCTAGAAATTGAACTCTGTATCTTGTTCAGCTGTCCTGACACAACCTTGATGGAGCAGGCTGGGGTACGCCATTGGATATTTAGTCATGGATTATTTGGTTTTTATTTTGTATCTTTGTTTCTCTACAGCTTTCCTCACAGTAGGTTTAAAAGCACCTATTCATTATGAGTTACAACCATAATAATAAAGAGCTGGAAAGCTTATCCTTAAGGTGCCATGTATAGTGGCTGTAGGTTAAGGACTTGAGGATAAGGAGAATTTAGGGTGAATGAACAAAAAGATATCTTTCTGTAAGACTGTAGACAGTGAAGTTTGAGGCCTTGGCCATGAAATGTGACTGTTCAGAGGCTCTTGCTAAAATCATACAGAGATCAGTGGATGCCTTTCGTAAGCAGGTGCAGGTTAATAACAGCCCAGGTGATTGTTAATATGACCTTGTATATGTACACTGGGTGTTGTGGCTCAAAGGTAAATAGGTCTTTGTGTAATTACTGAGAAAGGCTCCCTTGTCTCTGTTCAGTTGAGGTGACCCTCAATAACATACACAATCACACTTTTCCTAGAGTCACTCAGATTTGACCAAGTGCTCTGTTCTCCATTCTCACAGTGCTGCAGCCCAGAGCAGTGACAAACAGCTACACAAGTACAGCTGTTTTTTGTCTTCACATCCTGGTGACTTTTAAAATGTCCTTGGATAATTCATAACTGCTGTCTCTTAGATAAAACTCTTCTGGGCCAGAGCTCTTTGAAAGGAAACTTCTCACTGGGGGGTGTGATGTTTTGACTGCCTCATTATTTATGGCATACATATTCTTTGCTGCTTGCCTGTATGCGACAAAAAGTAAACTTGAAGTGTTAAGCTACTTCAGGAAGACCAGGGCTCAGATGCATGGCTGGTCTTGAGCAGGGAGTTTGATGAGGTAATCATAATAGCATCTTATGCAGAATGCAAGTTTTAAGATGAAACTGAAAGTGTCTTTATCTAGGTCACTGATAAATATACTTAACTCTGTTGCCTGTCGGCAAATCAATCTGATGTTTTTCTTGGAAATGTAGTTATTTTGGATAATATCTTAAGGACTGTGGAGTGGGAGTTGCTCTGTGAAATGCTGTCTTAAATTATACACAGGCAATTGGCTAAAATTGTGGAATTAGGGATATTGAGAGAACTGCAAAAAGAACTGCTATATCCTTCTGACAGATGATTGTTCTACCTTTTATGGGGTAACATGCTGTTGAATTGTGCCTGATGTTGACTTGTTTACTTTTTCCCCTTCTTCCTTTATTCCAAATAATACACTAATCCAAGAGGACAGAAATACAAACGTGGCATGCATCACATACATACATGAAATACACTGAGTATTTTCTCAGCAGCACTGTGGGGGAACAGTATGTAACACAGGATTGCTATGTGTGACTGGAAACCTGGCAGTCAGGGTACAAGGGAAAAGTCAGGGATTTCCTGTTCATATCAGGGGATGTCCAGTCCTCCTTTATTCTACTCTGAGTGCCCAAAATCCTGGATCTTAGATGAAGGTTTTCTGGGCTCGTCTTCAGTCTCTCCAAATGCTTAATGCGTGCAGTCTCTTCAAGCCCTTAGTGCTTACACTTATTAGGCTTTCCCTGGCCTTGCCAACTGTTGTGTACATAACTTACCAGTGAATATACTCCTTGTACCTAACATCAGACAGGTGCTAATAACACCCAACCTCTGTCACAGTTCCTAATTAGTTTAAGAACCACCGCAGTTCAGTAAAGTGTCCTTTAAAGGTCCTCATTGTCCCAAGTCACCTGACATGATGACAGTTCCCATCGTTTACCAATACTCCTATAGTTTGAGAGCTTCTGCAGAAAGGTGGGAAGCTCTGTTTATGACCAACACCTGGAGCTCCTGGGGGGAATACAGTGTATTCTGCCTGTGAGGAAGAAATTTACCTCAACAGTGCGCAGCCTGTGCTTTGGGATGTGTGTTTGGAAGCTTTTCCAGTCTGATGAGTAGCTTAGACACGGTAAATTGAGAGCATGTCAGCTGAGGTTGGTGCTGGTTGATACAATGTGAAACTCATTCTTGGTCAAGTGGACTATGGACATAAACACCTCTCTTTCCCTCCCCATCCCCCTCCATTTTCTCTTTTTTGCCCAGGGTTTGTGAACTAGAAGAATTGGGAGAACTGTCTCCTTGTTGGGAAAGCCTTCGTCGACAAATAGTTACACAGTACCAAACAATTATTTTAACTTACCAGGAAAATCTAACTGACCTGCACCAGTATAAAGGTGATTTTTATTTTTTGCTTTTTTGGTAAAAACGTGATTCTTCTCTACCAGGATTGTTTGTGCTTCTTGGAAATGGCAATCCAGAATGTTTTATGAAGAATAAACAATGCTATTATGTTTCTTGTCTTTCTTAATATTTGAGTTTTCTAATTACCTGGGAATATTTGTCTGTTCTATTTGCTCTCTTATCCTACTCTGAAAGTAGAGGACGCGTGTAAACAGTAACAGAAATATTTTGTTTTGTTTTTAACTTTTTAATTTTCTTTACTTTCAGCACATAACAAATGATGAATTAAACTTCTTGAATGTTTTAGGATAGGCACAAGGAGAAGGGTTTTATGCTTACTTTTGTGTCTTGCATTTCTCAGGTCCTTCATTTAAAGCCAGTAGCTTGAAAGCTGATAAAAAATTGGAATTTGTTCCTACGAATTTACATATACAGAGAATGAGAGTCCAGGATGATGGAGGATCAGGTATTAGTTTCTCTTTCTTCACTTACTTTGTTTCTTTCCATTTTTATTTCTGTCTTCAGCCACACAGCCAAGTTTCTACGAACTTCTGTAGTAGTGCTACTTCGCATTTTTGTAGCACCTTTTATTCTCAGATTCCAAATCTCTTTGCAGAAGAAGAGATGTAAGTATAATTACTGCTGCCCTACAGGTGGCAAAACTATGTTCTGGAGTTAACTGAACTCTAGGTGGCACAAGTTAGCCTTTGTACCAGGATTGGGTTAAGTTGCTGCGTCCCTTCCAAACATTTTGAATTGCAGTAGAATAAAAAAGGTTCTGACTTTTTTCTTGTTAAGCTTGTGTGCTTTTTATCCAGAATCAACATGTATGGTTATGTAAAATCATGTTTTTTCAAATCAAGCTTGTTCCATCATAAACTGACCTGGGTTTTTAATTTTTTTAACAGTAATTCCCTGTGACCATGGACACACACTTGCCTCACGTGTCCATGTGAGGGATTCCTGTAGTGGCAAGCTTTGTATACAGACCGGTGTTCAAGACTTCTTTTTCACTGTCAGTCTTCTAGATTAGGAAACAGAGGACCTGCAGTCATGTGTGGGTCTTTCACCTGAAAAAGTGTTTCATTTCTAGGGCCTCTAGAACAACTGAGTTTTCCATGTCTTTCAAACCATGGCAAAGTTTTCCAGATATTACTTTCAGAAAATTTTTTTAACTTACACAATTGTTTGTCTCTGTTAAAGAAGACAAGTTTTCATTTGTAAGTCCTTTTTGTCCATCCCAGATCAGAACTACGACATAGTCACCATAGGAGCACCAGCAGCTCATTGTCAAGGCTTTAAATCAGGTGGCTTGCGGAAAAAGCTGCATAAATTTGAAGAGGCAAAGAAACAGTAAGTAGAAACACTATTGTGTCAGCTGTTATTGTGCCTTTTTCTCCTGGTCCATGCTCAGTTATTTGGAAAATCATTCCATTCTGTTTTTATTTCATTCAATAGTACTACTATACAATATTTTGTATATATATATTTTCTGTGGGTTCTTTTTTTTTCCAACGAGGGAGAGAGAAAACAGTTTCTTCCTTATATTACTGTATTTATTTGTTTACTGATAGGCTCTTTCTAAGAGCCTTTTTATGAAAACTTTATTTTTTCTGAATACTTGTTGAGTCATTTAATTTAGCTATTTTAGGTGTTGGGTTTGGGTTCTACCTAATTGTGGGTCAGAACATTTGTCTGCTGAACCTCCTCAACTGCACTACATCATGCTTCAACCCATTATTTTCAGGAGACTTTCACCGCTCTCATAGCTTCAAGGTCCTGTTGCTAAGCTCCCTTTAGCAGGAACCTGCTGTGTCTGATTGGTAAATTCCTTGTTGACAAAGTGGGTTTAGTTCTGAAACAATTGCTGGAGGCCTTCCTGCATTGCCTGAAGGCTTATGCACAGACTGGACTTCTGAATTTGGCCTCTGCCCTACAGGCAGGATACTTGACCCCCATGGTCCTGTCTGCAGGGACAGCTGAGTGACCTCTGTAGAAGTGTGGATATGTGAACTAGAGGAAGGTACAGAAGCTGAGAAGGTCACATTTGCTAACAGAACACCCACTCCAGCTCCCAGAGAAGGGAGAGTGCTGAAGGGTCTGCATTGCTTCTGCTACTGTATGGGGCATTTACAACACAAGAGCAGCAGGACAAGGAGTTGTTGTAGTCAGGGAAAATGAGACCTTGATAATGCCCTTCCAAAGAAAGGATTAGTAGGATTTGGAGCTGATAGGAGGAGGGAATGACGTGGGAATCAACTGCAGAATTAATTTTGGCAGTAGAGAAATGAATAGCAGCATCGTGTGAATGTCAGTCAGATATGTTCTGATAAAAAGATTGGTGCAGAAATACCTAGTGTAATTATTCAGGCTGACAGAGTTCACTAGGATAGGACTAGAGGAAACTGTAAGCTTGGGAACACTGGTATGCCAGGCTCACCCTTTCGGTTCTTTTGATACCACTGTTGCTTTTTGAAATAACCTCCTTCTGTCAGCATAGCCACTGAAGTGGTTCTTACTCTTGCAATAGCTAATTTCCCATGTGGATTTGTTCTTTTTCCCCTCACCCAATTATTAGGTTGATTAGAGAGCTTAATTTTTATCCAGTACTTTTTCTCTAAGTTTTTCAGAACTGTTCTTTCTGAGTCCATGAAAACTGCAGGTTCAACATTTGAAGAACAACTTTCATTTTAAGTACATCTATGTTATCAAAAAAGACAGTATAGTAGAACTGAGATCCATCTCCTCAGTGTCATTGTTACATTTCTGCTTTTGGTATTTGCTAACAATCTGCTAATTTTATTTTGGTTTTTTGTTTTTGTAGCAGTTATGAGGAGTGTTGGTGAGTTTTCTGTTTCTGAGAGTTCTATAGAGGGTTTCTGTTCTCTGGATTGTTTTATTTTCATTTTTTTTGGCAGAGATCTGGTGTGTTTTAAAGTGTGCAGGGCTTTTTTAATATCATGCATCATGGCATCCCTAATTGTGCTCTAAGTAATTGTAGCTGCTTTGTAGAACATGATGTGTGAGTGAATTTAATTTCATCTGCAATGTTTATTTGCAATGAACAGCTAGCTTCCTGGCTCTCTCTGATCATTAAGAAGTTAAGAAACTGAAAATCAGAACACAAGGATTTTATATATTTTCCTTTATTATTTCCAATGAAAACTATCTGGAATGAGAAACTTTTATGGCAGTGATGGAAGATAATTAAGATAATTTATGTATTTTAAAACCTTAATATTGACAGATTTGGCATGGTGTATATTTTTGTAATCCATGTCTTTATTTAAACATTTTTACATAATTTTTTTCCTCATTTTGTGGTGTCCAGTGCTATCAAAAACAGACATTACTGGATGGTTCAAAACTGCAGAAGTTCTGCTCCAAATTACTCTTATTAAGGTTGAATCCCTAATTCTCTGAGATTTTAAGTCTGTGTTACAGTTTGCTAATACAATGAGAGCTGTTCATTTGAAAAAGCAATTGCAGGTTGGAAAGTAAGTATATGTGAGCTCCACACCATAATTTTTTCCCCAATCATCCTAGCAAGTGTTTATGATTAAAAATATAATAATTCTAAATCCACTCTCAATATGCTGCATGGCCTTTTCTGCCAACTATGTCTTTATGCATGTTAACCACACTGTCGTGGAAATAAATTGCTCAGAGGAATTGTCACTAAGATCACCAGTCACTAGAAAGCACAAATCAAGTACAGAGAAAACCCTAAAAGCTGAGATTAATTTGCTGTATGGCACAGCAGTACTGGGGAGTGGTTGTCCTCTGCCCCACTTGGGTGGGTGATCAGAGCACAAACAAGGAAACTCTTTCAAGGATCACTTCTGAGTTACACAAATTCCTCATCTTTCTTTTGTGATGGAGCTCAGGCAGACTCTGGCATTAGGCTTCTTCCTTTCCTTATCTGTTAAGGGACAAGAATTGGAACTGTGGCACGATTTTGAAGTGTGCCCCACATAACCCTCGTGTCCTGCCTCACAGATACGCTGCAGAAATTAACAGCATTGCTCTAAGGGGAGCAGAGTTCACACTCCTTGGAGGTCATGATCTGTGGTCACCATGCCTGACAGAGAAACTCCTCTCCATGTAACCTCTCAGTGTGGCTGTCCCCATTTAACAGTGCTGAGATCGGTGCAAACAGTAGGTTCTTCTGTGCTGTTACCATGCTGAAGCCATTCATGACCAAAAAAAAATTAATAAAATTAAGATAATACACAATTGGTGTCCCCTCATTCTTGATACCGTGTCATGAATGGACATTGCACTTGGCACAGCTGGAGATGATGTAAAGGCCTGGTCTTTGGGTACCTTTCCTACTGGAAGGAAGAACCCAGCATTTTGCTTAACAAAGGGAGTAGTAGTCAGTTGGTTCCAAATAATTAACTAAGAGCACAGCTTCAGCTTTGAGTAATTTTCTAAGTTAAAAGGCAGCTTTTGTGAATGACTCTTTCAGGTGGGATCAAAGTACCCTTTGAAAGAGCTATTCTTTCTCCAGCAGTTGTAGAGCATCTGTCTTGGATTGGATAAGCAACTTCTGTAGACATCTAAACTTAAAAGGGCATAAACTGTTCTCCACTGTCAAATAAGCAGTCTTAGTGTAGCTGTATTATCCCCATATAAAGATATGTTTGTCCCTAGTTTAGTATATTAATTGTGTGCTAACAGAAATTACACAAAGAACAGTGTCCTTGGATTAGCCTGAAGATGCATGTTGATTTTTTATGTATCATAAAATTGCTTTTGCTGCTGTAATTTGATTCTGGTCTGCAACAGAGGAAATTTTGTTAATACCACAGTGTTTGCATTACGGAACTGGGTGGCATTTCTGTGTTAGAAGTAGCACGGGTTTTCTTTTCATTATTTTAGTATTATTCAGTATTTTGTAAACAAGGCCTCAGTGAAGTATCTGTGTTGTAAGGAGAGGGAGAATGGAGCAAGATGTCTCCACAAACAGTGATTCTGTATCTGATGGCAAAATCTGTCACCCACATTTTCCTCAGCAAAGCTGTCCCTCTGGCATACAAACTCTGCCCACAGCACCTTGATATTAGGGATTAGTAAATCTGCATCTGAATGCTTTTATTAAAGGCAGAGAAGTCTCTAGGATCATGTTCCTGCTGTGCAATTGCCCACTGGACTTTCACTGTTATCATTAGTTTAGGTTAATTTTTGTTGTCTGCCATTAACTCCCCAGCATGCCACTGTAATGTATATACCTCTAGACCAATTCCTCCCTAAAATCAATTTTTCTTTTTCAGCACTTCAACAAGTTCCCAGTCTATAATATACATCCCACAGGATATTGTTAGAGCAAAGGAAATTATTGCACAAATCAACACCCTGAAAACGCAAGTCAGTTACTATGCAGAAAGGCTCTCAAGAGCTGCCAAGGATAGATCAGCTAATGGCCTTGAAAGAACACTCGCCATCCTAGCAGATAAGGTAGGAGAATAATTAATTTCCCCACTGAAGCACAGTGTATTGTTTGTTCTGTCTGTACCTTTAGTAGGTTTTCTTGAAACATCAGTTTTGCCTTTTTCAGTAGGGTGTTGTAACATGCATAGACCAAAAAAATTTTATCAGCCTTTAAAAGTTCCTGTTTTTATTTACCTTGTCTCCTACTTGTGATACTCTTGCTTCACCTCCTCTTGAAAGTGCAGTGGAGAGCAATGTCCTCTGATTCCCTCTCTTCATTCATCACATTGCAGTAATGTGCATTCTTCACTTTCTTTTATATCCTTTTCTCCATAACCACCTGGGATTTTTTAATGTTCTGAGTCATCTATCAAGTAGCAGCAACCGTGTGAAAGTTAATGAAACAATTCTGTATTTTTCCACTGGTGAAATAAGGAATAATGGTGACACAGCCTTTGCTTGAATTATAGCAATGTAAATCAGTTATTTCTTGATGTGTGCTAACAAAAAACAGACTGGACCCACAGCTGAACACAATCTTACAGGGAGAAAAAACCCAAGTACAGTTTTACTGACCTCTTCTGTCCTTGAAGCAGATCTGAAGGTTCTAAAGAGCAATAGTGCTAATCAGCTTGCCAGAAATTGTCTCAGTGGAAGGGATATGCATGCAACTTATAATGGGACCTCATGTAAATGTATTATTTATTATAATACTCATTCTAAATAAGTACAGTGTATAATTGATCTATGGGATTTCCTACAACTGGATTATGTGAATATATAACATATTAATGTCTTGTTTCTACTTTTTTTAGTAGACACACAGGCCACCTAGTTTTCATATTCATATTCACAGGCTTACAGAAATAAGTGTGTTTAATACAACACAGTTAAATAAGACAGGGAACAAATTGCATTGATTAGTGGGTTATACCTTCAGTCCTCCTCTTCAGTCTTGTTATAATTTCGGACAGGATGATGGGGGTGAAGCCTGATCCTTCTGGTGTGGAAACTGTTGTGTGGGGTATAAAAATAATGTAATCATAGAATACAGTGAGTTGGAAGGTACTAAACAGGATCATTTTGGTCCTGCTCTCCCAGACTCATACCATATGCCCAAGAGCATTGTCCAAACACTTGAACTCTGTCAGGCTTGTTGCTATGACCCCTTCCTTGGGGAGCCTGTTCCAGTGCTCAAACACTGCACATGTGTCTGCACCTTGTTCTAAGCTGAGGTGCAAATAAGGATGATTTGTACATTGCTTAGTGACATTTTCAACAATTAAAAATCTAATATAGTAGTACAGACTTTGGAAATGTGTAATTTGTGTTTTGTGATCTTACACTATTTTTTAAGGTCATTCTGTAAAGGTGTTCTAAAGGCACTTTCAAGCAATAGTTTCTTCTATAGAATATTTCTTTTTTTCTTTCTTGAAAAAAATGCAGTATCAATTGTGTATGGAATAATGAAAAATTTTCAAAATGTGGGGGTTTATTGCTTTTCAGACCCGGCAACTTGTCACAGTCTGTGACTGCAAGCTGTTGGCAAATTCAATACATGGACTGAATGCTGCAAGGCCAGACTATATAGCTTCAAAAGCATCTCCAACCTCTGGAGAAGGGGAACAAGTGATGCTAAGGAATGATCAAGATACACTTGTGGCCAGATGGACAGGAAGAAATAGCCGATCTTCTCTGCAGGTGGACTGGCATGAAGAAGAATGGGTATGTTTGCATAATGGGGTGCTGAATCCTTTGTTCTTTTTTTTAATTTCTTTTTTAATAAGCTCTGTAGCTGCTCACCAGATATACATAGGACGAGTATGTAGAAGGTATTGGTCAGCTAGCAAAGATGTTGTCTCTGTCCTGCAGGCAGTTACTCCTTGGCATGGCAATACAAGCAGGCTTTAATAAATATTTCTGGGTCTCCTAAAAAGTGGAACTTGTTGCAGCAGATGCATAATATTTTTTAGGTGAGGTCCAAGGGAAAGTAAATAGCTTTGAAAGTGAAAAACTGACCATACTACAATGGGCTTTTGCATTCTCCCAAATAAAGTGTATTTTGTGGGTTTTAGCTATGCAATTTAGCCTTCCTCTTACAAAAATTCTCCTGTGACCATTTAGAACTTCCAGTCAACCACTATTTCAATTATGAACAGCATTTTAAAACAGTTTGAAAAAAGTACTTAAATAGTTTTTGCCTGCCAATCAAAATGAGAATTGGACTTTGTAAATTCTGTCATTGTATTAAATAAACAGAAGTTAAATAAATCTCATAAATAGTCAAGATGAATTAAAGCAATTATTAATATTCTGAAATACCAATTTTTAAAAGCAATTAAATTCATTTTGGAAATGGATCCTTATCCTTGCTAGTTGTAACTATTTTAGCATACTTTGACTTACTATCAAAGTCACAGTAATAACATACAAATGAAATTAATTCAGTATTTAGACATTACTATAATACAGTAATTTTATCTCCTATTCACTGAGTTACAGAGAAAAAAGAGATGTGTGGTTGTATACAATTACTATGTCAAACATGAATTTCAAGAGTAAACAATAGTGCCAGCTAGAGATTGGAATAATAGTACAGAAAGAGGATCTTAAAATTGTTTGGCAAGCTTACACAGAAAATAACTTTGCAATTTACCACATAAGTCATGTCACTACATATTATTGACATCCTGGTATACTTTACTTATATATCCATCATTTTTGTATGCACACATGCAACCACAATAGCCCAGAGGAAACTTTGCAGAGGAATTGTGACTAGAATCACAGGAGGAAATATATCGCCAAGGGAATTGTTACCCAATGTCTCTTTTGGTTTTAAACTGAGAAAGAAATGTTTTCTTTTAAGGAGAAAGTTTGGTTGAATGTTGACAAAAGTCTGGAGTGCATCATACAGAGAGTGGACAAACTTCTCCAGAAGGAACGCCTGCAAAGTGATAGCTGTGAAGACGTTTTCCAGTGTGACGTCAGCAGTAGTAGTAAGAAAGGTAATCGGGACAGTCGTGCCTACTGGATAAATCCAGAAGATTTAAATGAGATCTCATCATCCTCACCATCTTCATCATCCTCACCACCATCTTCATCCACACCATCCTGTGCATGCCATTCTCTCAAGACAAGTGCGTATGCCAGACACTGCTTCTCACCGCTGCTCTCTTCCTGTGTGCTGGCATCATTCCTGAGCCTCCCTTACAGCCCTCCATGTGTTTTTAGCTCAGTGCTGGTGTTAAGCAGTGATGTCAAGCAGAAAGAGCTGTTGATGTACTGGGAATTGCCGAGCCCATTACTTATTTTGGAATCCTGGTCCCACTGAAATAATTGCCAAATCCATTGGTGGCGCTTTGTTTTTGCTCTGTGGGTTTTAAGCTGGTAAAAGAGTTGTATGGGTTATCACCACAGACACCACCTCTGGTAGCTTTCCTGTTGGCTTCAGATTCTTTGCAGCAACCAAAGCTTATTAGAGGTAAATAAAACATGAGAGAAGTGCAGGCACTACTGTAAAACTGATTGTAAAACTTTGTAAAACTACTGTAGTTTTTTTTTACAACTAGTAGTTGTAAAACTACTGTAAAACAGCTAGACTGCTAAAGCATGAGAGAGGATACCAAACAGTCCTATTAGATTGAGCTGAATGTAGGTGAATCTAACAGAGTTCAAAGCAAATTTTAACCCAAATGATGGTGCTGAGGCACTCAGTTATTTAGACTTCTAGCTGGAATGTAGGAATTGTCAGTGAAAGCTCTTAGCTGAATAATCCATTCAAAATATAAGCTCAGGTGGGTGCTGTATTGAAGCCAGTGTAAAATTGTGAGCATGTGAATGGAATATATCCTTATCAGTTTAGACTGACAGTTTGGAAGGTGTGGATTAAATTTCAGAATTATTTTATTTAATTGAATTGTTCTCACATTCTTTACGTGTGGTCACTCTGATTTGGCCACTTAATAGTGCAGGTGGGCGAAGTGAAACTCTAAAAAGACTGATCTGTGTTCTCATTTCCTTTGTCCTGTTCTGTCTCATCATTTGATGGCCCTTTGTCCCTTATGTGTGTCTGTGACTTCATGTCCATCACATTGTTAGTGTTGGAGTGGAAGGCAGTGCCTTAAGGAAAAAAAAGACAAAAAGGAAGTAAAAATAAATGTTAATATATTTTTGTGTAGCTTTGCATGTCACCTGTAGTTTATTATCTTAGACAACCATGTTTTTCTAGATTAGATATTTTTGTGTGTTATTAAAAAATAGGAGAGTAGGTTCTTGTTTTATGAATCTTTGACTAAATTTCTTCTACCAGTGTGATACCTATAAATGTTTTTGTTTACTAGCTAGTTTACATGAAGTTTTATATGTATTTTACCTGTAAGTTTAATCAGTAACCTTCAATGCACATTCACATAAAAGATTAAATGTGAATTCTTTAAGTTAAAGATTCACAGGAAAAATCTGTGATGAGTGATATCAGAAGCTTTTCCCAAGACGATTTGATGCTTAGAACACCTTAGAACAATATTTTTCTACTATATTCAAGGGATCTTTTAATTCTACTCTGGATCTTGACACTTACGCCATATAAAAGTGGAATTGGCTGCATGGACCTACCAAAGATTTTGTTAGTGCAAAGGATTTTTGTAACTTTTCCTTTCTGTCCCTCCAAAATAGGAAAAAAATTAAATCTTTCTATTTAACCAGCAGAACCTGGGGCAGAACTGAAGGACAAAGAAGGTCCTTCACCTAAGTTCAGAATCACAACATTTTTGTTGTTGCGTATTCAAAGAATTAATTATTTTCTTGTTAGTAATTCTGTGTTTTGAACAAATGAGCAGAGAACAGACAGAAATTGTTTTGAAAGCAATGTAGAAACCAGCCAAGCAAGATAGTTCCTCCATTGGTAAGAGAGAGAGAGTAAAATTTTATTGAAGGACTTTAGAGGATCTTTCTAGAAATAAATGTTTGTGAAAGAAAATACTACCTGAAATAGTACAAGGGAAAGATATAAACAACAGAAGCTTAAATCCTGTTAGCTTAGTATTCTACTCTTTATTACTGCAGGACTTGTTGTAACAGGGCATATGTTATTTTTTTACTGTTAGCATTGACCTATAGTATATTTTCATCTGACAGCTTGATCTTCCCACTGAAGTGAGTATGGAATACTCACAGACTTCACTGGTGGGGTTTCAGCCCTTAATATACCATCTAATGTTTCTGTTAATTAGTTATTTCAGAAATTGTGTAACGGAATTTAAACTAAAGTAGCTAAGTACTGGTTTTTTATTACTCTTGCATTGTGGATGCCTTAATGTCATTTTCTGTTCAGTGCATTGAACTTACTGCTGGTCTTTTGCTCTTCTGTTTAGCAGCCTTACTGCAAGCTTAATCTATAATTGCAGTAAACCAGTGGTTCTCAAATTGTGCCCTGTGGATCACTGGGGATTGACAGTGCACTTGCTGGTAATCCACAGCGAGCCTCTGAGCTAGCAGGTACTGGCTTTCCTCCAAGTCCCCATCCAGGTGTTCCTCTGATCAGAACCGTGGAGTGGAGGAGACAGTCCATGCCCGCCATGCCTGTGGGCAATAAAGCATTTCTACTGAGCTCCTCTTCACTCAGTGAAAATGTTTGAGAACCCTGGCACTGAGCATTTGAGTTGCTTGTATTTAGACTGTGTTGCTGCTCCTTAATCATGCATGTTGCCCCTCCATTTCTGTGCAGATTGCAGTCCTACTCCGGAAGAATCTGCCCCAGGTATGTGCATTCATGGCTTCTGCTTCTTCTGAAAACAGCAGGGGTTTGTTCATAGTTAACTGAACAAGTGCCTTGCTTTAAGATGGACCATTTTGAAATGGCAATGCTTTACAACACCACGTGAGTTACCTAAGCTATTGAGAAGTTATTATCTCCTAATAGTGCAGCGGGTATCTGATCATTTTGCATGCCCAGATATGGGAGAGCGCTTGTTCAGGGCCTCTTTGGTTTCTCCAGCTGATGTATTTTAGCAAACTGATGTAGGTGACAATGGTTTGAGGCCTGTTCCAAATGTCATTGAAGTCTGTGGGAGTCTAATATTTCAGACGTGCCCTTTCACACAGGCTGTTGAACTGGTCTTACTGAATGAGAAGTCGAGCAGAACATGGAAGAGTCAACAAGACTGATGGAAAACCTCTGTTGTGGGTGCACACCAAGTAGTAGTATTGGGGATTGCAAGTCTCATGTTTCAGGACACAGAATTTAGGAGTCTCATCCCAGTGTTAACCTTCTGTTCTTGTCCCTCTGTAATTAATATGAAAAGACTAAAATAATAAATTTTTAAGGTCTTGGAAGACAGCTGTTTTAATAATGTATTTATTGCTCTAGAGAAGAGAGACCCTTAGGGCGAAAAAAGCAAGAATTTTTCCTGCCTAATGTTACATCCTACAAGCTTTATGTATTTGGTTCTCTTAATAAGACATTAATTTTTGATGAAATAGTCAGTAGTATATAGTCAGCAAAGTTCACTTTGTGAACTCATTGCCTTTCCCAACACCCCTATCTTGTTCCAACCTAATTTGAGACTGGGAGTGCAATTCCTGACTACCGTTAATAACAACTACCATTGACTAAAAAATAAAAGAACACACGTGACACCTCTTTAAAGTAGTTAGCAAAAATAATTTAGAACTTTGCACACTGACACAAAAAGGGTTTGTTTTTTCATGGCGAGAATTTGAAACCAAGAGAATACACAGCACAGAGGATTTTTGCTCAGATGAGTCCCTGCATTATATGTGAATGTTGAAAGAAAAAAACTTACCTAATAATTGCATTATCTTCACCAGTGTACTTTGTGATTACCAAAGATAAACATATCTTTCAAATGAAGTGCTGTCAAACACATTACAGTTTTAAATCTTTGCTGAGTTAGTAACTATATACATGTATGTACATACAGTCAATGAGATGATGATGTGCTGGAAGATATTTTCAGTTCTTGTTATTCTCATTTGCTTACAGAAAAGCTCTTAATAGCAGTAAGAGAAACACTGTTGGTATCATCTGTATTTTGCTTTCTAAGTGTTCACAAGGCCATGTTATGGCATCTGACTAATTTTGAGATAAAATATTTAATAGAATTTAAAAGACAATGTGTGATTCCTTGTCAGTTCTTTTGATGTTTCCTACTTTTTTTTAAGGCAATGACAGAGTCAAACAACTTTCTCTTTGTGTAGTTTGTTAGATTATCCATATACCACATAGAACAAAAGCCAAAAGGTTAGTTCTGTTAATATTACCAGATATGTTTCTGTTAACAGACTTTCAGAATTCCTCTCTTTGGCTGGTTATCATAGGAACACATATTCTGACTCCTAGTTTTGCCTTTGAATCAAAATCCCAAACAATTTCCTTTCAGGGACTTTCAGTGTTTCATTCATGCAGATTCTGGTCTGTACGTTGCCTTGTTCCTACAGCCAGCTGGGTGGGAGTTGTGTGTGTGCTGTTTGTGAGCTCTGCTGCTTTTAAAAATAAAACATTGTCCTGCCCTTTAAAAAGAGACGAGCTTGAACAACACAGTTTCACTTCTGTGCTTCCTGTGCAGGACCTTTATCTTGTGTATTTCAGTGGAAGAAAAACTCCAAAGTACTTCCAACAACCTGTATGACTCCCATCTAAATCATTGCGTTTAGTATTTCTTGTAATCTAGCTTAAAGCCTTTAAAACTGCTCAGGAGATAGGAAGCACTTAAAAGAGTACTTGCATTAATTTCTCACCTCACACCTTATTATTCTTAGCTGCAAATAGGAGATGAGCATCATCTTGCCTCACTGAGGTGCAATAAAGATCAATAAGCTGGTGAGGCAGTTGAATGATACACCTATGAGCCTAGAGATTCAAAAGGTGGGATATTTGGCAGGAATCTCATTGACAGAAATGGCTAAGAAGATGGTCCTGTTTCTGTAATACAATGAACTCCTTACTGTCTGTCCATGCATGTGCAGTGAAAGGGTTTGTTTGACCATGAACATGCAGTTATATACACTTCTGTATATAGTTATTCATATTTCTGTTATGATTTCCAAATCAGCTATTGTACAGCCTGTTGTGTGGGCACAAACTCTGGTAACTTTTACATGGTCTGGAAAGTCATAGCAGCTTTACAGAGTAAAATTCTCCATATTTTCCTCATGCAATAACTACACTGTAAGGTTACTTAATTATTACAGAGCAGGGAATAACCATACAGCAAAAATAAAATGAGTTCTAAATGTGAATTATTAACAACTTTGACTTGCAACAGGAGGTTTCTTAATGTGTATTTGTTTCAAATAAAGTACTTCCGCTGCTGCTAATTTTTTTTTTTCTTTTAACCAGGTGAATGGAGTGAAGCTCTTTATCCCTTGCTGACCACACTCACTGACTGTGTAGCCATGATGAGCGACAAGGCAAAGAAAGCCATGGTCTTTTTATTAATGCAGGACAGTGCCCCAACAATAGGGCTCTGCCTGAGCCTTCAGTATCGCAGGGATGTTGTCTTCTGCCAGACTGTAAGCAAACAAATATGGATGATTTGATTTCACTTCCACAATTGTTTCTATGAAATATGAAAGATTACTCTTTCCAGAATTTTTAAGATCTCTTCCCAGGTTTGACACTGATTTCCCCTCAAGATTTTCCTCCACAAGCTGTGCTATCCTGTCCTTACTGGTTACTTACTTGCATTTGACAATACATAAATTAGGTGTCCCCTTGGTTATACAATCATTCACTACTGAAAATACAAATTATTCCAGAACTAGTAAAAATATACTGCTGTATTCAGAAACAGCCTTTGCCTTCCAATGCCACTGAGCTAAAGCAAAAGTAAGATGTGAAAAAGGGAGGAAGAAAGGCCTGTGAATAGCAGGTGTACTCCCTCAGTTACCTTTTCTTGTTTTCTTCATTGAGAAACCCAGCAGGACATATGGTACCTAAGAACATAAGTTCACCTATGGGAAGAGAAATTTGTTCTGGGTTTTTTTCTCAGAAGTTCTGTTTCTAGACCTGCTGGCATCTCTTGTGTCAGACACTGACTAGCACGAAGAAAATTTCCACTGTCCACAGAAAAAAAATTTTCTGCCCAAAAAAAAAGTAGTGTCTGCTTTCCTGTGAAATCATTATCTTGCTCATTTGTTTCAAACAGTTTATTTCTTGGACATCATTGGCAGGACTTTTGTTCTATTATTTAGTATCAAAAATGTAAAACAAGTGACAGGATAAGAGGAAATGTCCTCAAGTAGTGCCAGGGCAGATTTAGATTAGATACTAGGAAAAATTTCTTCATGGAAGGGGTTGTTAAGACCTGGAGTGGGTTGCCCTGGAAAGTGGTGGGGTCACCATCCCTGAAGTGTTCAACAAATGTGTGGATATGGCAGTTGAGGACATGGTTTAGAGGTATACGTGGTCGTGATGCTGGGTTGGATTTGGTGATCTTGGAGGTTTTATCCAGCCTTAATGATTCTTTGATTCTGTGATCTCATAGAGATAAAATCAGGGAATCTTCCTATATCAAACCACCTCATAATGCAGATAATTCTTAAATTCAATCCTTTGAATATGTTTACCCATCAGGATTGGAACTGTATTCTCTTCTGTTTAATTCTATGACAAAGTCATACACCTGTGTACATAGTATATGGTTTACATGCCTGGGAAATTCCTTTGTTGACAGTGAATTAAGACTAGAATTAATATTGGATAATAGTACTGACCTTAGTACTAGATCTTCAGGATCTTGTTCTGAATATCTCGTAACACCAGAGTTTAAATCTGCATAATGCAAACAGATTCTGCATTTTTAAGCTTTCTCAAATGTCATTTTTGAAAAACAATAATTTATTCATTCTATCAAAATTCTTGGCCTGGAACTAGCCGTATTGCTTTTCTGTCTAAAACAAAAACAATTCTCTAAGGAGCAACTTCTGTAATTCATAATTTGTAGACCCTACCACAAGGGATTGCGTTCAGAAAACGAAAGGGTGTGAGATCTACAGCAGCCCCATTTTGAGACAGCTTGTGAGAAGAATGCAGCGTGCCCTGAATCGGATTTTATGAATGTTTTGGGTCTTCGTTGATTGGTTGTCTTCAGCTGCAAGGAAAAGAAGATGTTTAAGGGAAAAGAGCATCTGTTTGACAGATTTTACTGCACCTCTTATACATGCTATCATTTTTGTTTGGGGCTAAAGAACCATTTTTATTCTGAATCATTTCATTCTTGTCTGTTTCCTCTCTCACAGCTGACGGCTCTCATTTGTGGTTTCATTATCAAACTGAGGAACTGCCTGCATGATGATGGATTTCTAAGACAGCTGTACACCATTGGCTTGCTGGCACAGTTTGAGAGCCTGCTGAGCACTTATGGTAAAGGCACGGGGCCAGGGGATGGGATTATCTGTTGAGTCAGCAAATTCTGCATTAAATTGACTGCAGCAGGATCTGAGTGTTTGAGACAATCTGCAGCTCAGCTACAAAATGATTTTGAAAACTAAAATGCAAAACTAGATTATAGCTGAAGTAATGAATTATCTAACAACTCTGAATTTCTTCACACTTCCTTGTATTGCTTCTAAAAGATTATGTGTACTTCTTTTACAAGAGAATGTCAAAGTAGAAAAAGAAAGTCTTAAAGAAAGACTAAAATGTATCACAGTGATCTTTGGGGTTTTTTTCAGAAAATAAGTAGATGAAAATTCTGGTAATCTGGAAAAAATTGTGCCCAAAATACACTTGGAATTTTCTTGTAACTTCTGTAGTCTTGAAGCACAATGTGAGACTGAAGAGAGAATATAAAAAGGGAAAGTACTTCACTCGGAAGTGTTTCACTCTTGGGTCTCAAAAGCTGTCTGGATGCTGGTTAGGGAATGCTTTACCAGATAAATCCAGAATACCTTGTAGCTGCTCCAGTGCAAAGGATATCATGGCTCTGACAATGCTGAGAAGTACTTACAAACTTTACCTAACTTTGAAAATCAGCATATAAAATACTTAAAGATCAGTAGTCTGGACTGCTCTAGATAACTGGTGTTTTCTAAAGTTGCTGAACTCAAAAAATCAGCCATGACATTGTCTGTAGGTCAAGGGGAAGGTTTGGGCTGCAGCACCACTTCATCTGTGGAACTTCTTCATGGAGTGATGGCCTGGTGTTTGTCATCAAACTGACAAAGGGAAGTTGTGCATAATAAGTAATTACAATTTACTTTTTCCTCTTGGATTTAGGTGAGGAGCTGGCAATGCTGGAGGACATGAGTTTGGGAATCATGGACTTGAGGAATGTAACCTTTAAAGTAACTCAGGCTACATCAAATACATCTACTGACATGCTGCCAGTCATCACTGGAAATCGGTAAAGAACAATAAATATACTTTATTCTGGATGAGTGGGAACATGCTAAAATTTGGCTTTTTCTACCCAAGTTGTAGAAGAACTGCAGTATTAATGAGCAGAGCAAAATCAGCTATTGCAAGGAAATTGGCAGATCTGGTTTGAATGTCTGTGAGGATATAAACAATATAAGCAACATTACAGGTTGCTGCTGTTTTTGAACTAGATTTTCTGACTAGAAGCAAGTTCTGGAAGTTCCTTAGAGTCAGTTTTGACTGATGGTTGCTTTTTAATGGTTATATTATGTTCTAGGTGTTATCCCCCTTTAGATAAATAACACATTCTTGGAACATAGCTTTTTGATTCTTATGTCTAACAGCTGTTTATTTCTTTTCAGTGATGGATTTAATGTGAGGATCCCTCTGCCAAGCGCCTTGTTTGATTTGTTGCCACGCGAGATTCAAAGTGGAATGTTACTGAGGGTTCAGCCTGTTCTTTTCAACGTGGGAATCAATGAGCAGCAAACCCTAGCAGAGAAGTAGGTATCCAGTCAGGCAAGCTCAGCCTTACTGGCAGTTCAGCAGTTAAACTACACTGCTGTGGAATTACACTCTGGCATAACTAGCAGTGTTTCAGTTTCGCCAATACATGAACATGGGAACACTGTTCTAAAAGAATCTGCCAAATGCCAAACAAAAGGAGGTCCTTCTTTATGTGCAACGTATTTATGAAGCTCCTTGCCTCATGGGTTTGAGAGTAGTGTGGGTTTATGTGGTTCAGATGTGAATCTGGAAAATTTACAATGGGAGATCTATCAAGGGCTATTTAGCACACAGGTGCTCCTTGTGACTTAAGACCTCTGTGAGTGACAGATCACTAGAGGCTGAGATCATTCTGGGTATTGCTGTATGTTTGCTTTCTTGGTTTTGCACTCTCCCTGTGACTCCCTCTCCTGGTCACTGTCAAAATTCAGGATAATGGGCAAGGTGCACCTCTGTTTTAACATACCCTTGCAGTATTTATGTAATGCAACACTGCTGTTGTAAAGCTGAAAACCAGAATTATGTAATTATATTTTTTTGGAAAACTGTTCAGTTCTGGAAAAGCCAGCAGATTCCCTCTGCTATGGCCACATCCTGTAAAGAGTACATTGACAGAATACTGCTCCAACAGAGCACTCCAGTGAAGCCAGGCACATGCATTTTGTGACAGCAGCCTCGGTACTGGGCTGGAGTGTGCACTGTGGTGGCGGACAATGAGAAAAAGTCTAACAAAAGCATTCCAGCAATTGCTGTTATCCTCTGTTGCCTGCAAAGGAAGCCCAAGATGACTAACAGAGTTACAGATGTCAGCACTCTGTGTGCACATCTGTGTATGTAGATATATTTAGATGAGATGAATCGTGGTGTTGTTGACAATATTTATTGCATTCGTGGTTTCTTAGTCCTAGATCCATATTTTTCATTTACATACCTGCTGTCAACATTCTCAGTCCTATCTACTGATGTTATGGTTGTTATTATTAGTTTATGAACTAAACTAATAAATCCACTATTGAAAGTCTAAATTTAGATAAAACAATTTGCAGGTAGGAATTTAATATTGAAAGTGAGACATGAAAGCCAGAGAAATAAATTACAACTGTAATTGCAATTAATTAAATACTATTTTCTACAAGATTTTTCTTGCACCTTCCTTCTCTTTTGTCCTCTCATACCCATATATTTTCTTTCACTGTAATGAATCATTACAACAGTTCTCTGTTACACTTCACCTGGCATTTGAATGGTTATGGCACTGCTGGGATGAATCTTTAAACTGGTTTTTGGCAGGCATATTGCCAAGTGCAGTTGTTTCAAAGAAAAAGAGAAACATCTTACCTTGGACTTAATTGTTTCTTTCTTCTATTAAAGGTTTGGAGACACCTCACTGCAAGAAATAATTAACATGGAAAGCTTAGTGCGGTTGAATTCATATTTTGAGCAGTTCAAGGAAGTTTTGCCTGATGATTGTAAGTAGTTTGTAATTAGTGACAGATTTGCTTGAATAGCACAATTCAGGCTGATTTTTTTCATTTGTTTGCTCTATGTTGGTTTTCTAAATGTTGATGATACACCAGCATTAGTAACCTCCAAGAAATGATACAACTCTGTTTTAATACTTAAGTACTAATTGGAGTGGATTCAAGAGGTTTAAAGGTCAGACTGATTAACTTCCCTTTTTAAGGTTACTTTTACATCCAAGTGGCACTATGTACTGTATAATTATCCAGTTAGTCAGTGAGATTGTTGTAAGGTAAAGGTGTAAAAGGGATGGGTTCTAGCAGCAGTACTTTTATGTGCAGTTTTTGGTATGCTCGCTGCACTTTTAATAAAACCTGCAGAGAGAGAAGCTGCCAGTTTTTAGGAACTGTCACTTCCCTTTGTTTTTCCTTTGGCATTTCCCTATAATTGTTGAATCTGCAGCCAGCAACAGAGAGCCTGGAAGAGAGACAAAAGCTACATGCTTAAATTTTACTGATTTTCTTTTTTTTTACTGGTTAATTTCTTGCTTGTTACTGCTTGGGATTTTTTTTGAGAAGGCAATGGCATGTGTTATTTACATGTGACCACAAAAATGGTGAAAATTCATCAACTCATTATTATTACAATCAAACCTTTTCTAAGGTTATTTCATGTGCCCTACAGTTGCAATTTCATTCCAGAAATACAAGTGCAATGACATGCAACAGGACAGTAAGAATTCTGTCTTTTAAAGTGTGTTATTGCATGTTCAGTTACCCTGAATTTTTTTTGATGCAGCTGAGGTCAGAACCTGCTTCCCTCCATCCAGGCATTCATAATGCTGCATAATATATACTCTGGAGTGTTAGTTTCAAAATTTATTTTTTTTGTTGTATAATAGTCTAGCATCAGATTATCTTCTACAATTCAAAAATTAATCAGTTTAAAATTAATTTTGTTCATACCTTGGTCTAGTATTTTATAATAGTAATTTCCATTCAACTCCTTCCTGTCCCCTTTAATTTTATTTTTTTTTTTACTTCAGTCTCTTCCCTCTTCCCCAAACCACTTATGTCTGAATCATCTTTCAGCTTTTGCCTTTTTTTTCTCCTGAAAGTCTGAAAGTTGTTGTGATATTTAGGATATACAAAATGAAGTGTACTTTTCTGTGAACCCTTATCAAGGGAGAATATCATTTTATATTTAACTGCAAACCAGCTGATTATGTCCAGTAATGTAGTCTGTGGTAGGTAGAGGCAAAAGGAAAAACAAACATCATTTTAGGGGACAAAGGTCCCAGTGAAGTATCTGCTGGCAGATTGCAGCAAGTGTTTCCTTCAGGAGCAGTACACAAGAAAAGTTGATTCCTTATCCACTGTTCATGTCCCTGTGTTCTTAATTCTAAACTCTGCAGAATTTCTAAGAAATTAATTAGTCTTAACTTCACTAGCTCCTTGTCCTTGTTCTGTTCGCTCTCCTTGTCTTTAGAAAGAGGCCTGTACCCTCCTTTTGTTTACCTAGGTATTACTTTCTAGGTGTAGAGCTCAAGCAGACCAGACCAGGACAGGCACAGTAGTGTTAATTATAGAATAGAAATGTAGAATTGTCTAGGTTGGAAAATATCTTTAAGATCATTAAGTTCAACTGTTTCCGCAGCACTGCCAAGTCCACCCCTAAACCATCTCCTCAAGTGCCCCTTCTCCACATTTTTTAAATACCTCCAGGGATGCTGACTCAACCACTTCCCTGGGCAGCCTGTTACAGTGCTTGACAACCCTTTCAGTGAAGAAACCCAACATCCAATCTAAATCTCCCCTGGTGCAGCCTGAGGCCTTTTTCTCTTTTTCTGTCACTGGTTGCCTGGGGAAAGACCCTCCCTGGCTTTCAGGTGGCCATAGAGAGCGATAAGGTCCCCCTGAGCCTCCTTTCCTCCAGTCTAAACAGCCCCAGCTCCTTCAGCTGCTTCTCATAAGACTTGTGCTCCACACCCTTCACCAGGTCTGTTACCCTTCCCTGGACACCATTGAGGTTTCAGCACCTCGATGTCCTTCTTTAGTGAGTGGCCCAGAACTGGACACAGCATTTGAGGTGTGGCCTTCCCAGTGCTGAGTCCAGGGGGACAATCCCTGCCCTGATCCTTCTGGCCACACTACTGCTGCTATAGGCCAGGGTGCCACTGGCCTTCTTGGCCACCTGGGCACACACTGTTCAGCTGCTCTGGACCAACATCCCCAGGTCCTTTTCTACCAGAAGCTTCCAAGCCACTCTGTCCCCAGCCTGTAGCACTGCCTGGGGTTGTTTTGACCCAGGGGCAAGACCTAGCACTTGCTCGTGCTGGACCCCATAAAAGTGGCCTTGGCTGATTGATCCAGCCTGTCCAGATCCCTCTGTAGAGCTTTCCTGACCTCCAGTAGATCAGCACTCCTGCCCAGCTTGGTGCCATTTGCCACTGACTGAGGGTGCACTGGAGCCTCTCCTCCAGATTGATAAAGATTTCAAGCAGGACTGACTGCAGAACTGAGTCCTGGGGAGCCACACTGGTGACCAGCCACCAGCTGGATGTAGCACCCTTCACCAGCACTCCGTGGGCCTGGCCATCCAGTTGGGTTTTTGACCTAGTGAAAAGTATGTCACACTAAGCCATGAGCAGACAGTCCAGGAGAATGCTGTGGGAAGCAGCATTAAAAGCTTTGCTAAAGTTCAGGTAAATATTGTCCACGGCCTTCCCTCATCTACTGAGTGGGCCACATTCCTGTAGGAGATCATGTCTACCATACTATTTGCCACGAGAATTAGGCCTAAAATAAAACCTCATATGTCACTCAGGTAGGATTCTTTTTGTCACAGTGTCATCTCTTATAGTGCATACCTCTGTATTTATTCAGTCACAACTTTAGTTGGTGTTCTCCATGCTTATTCCGTTAAAAAAAAAAAAGGAACAACAAAAAAGACAACTCGTTGAATACTTGAATACTTGTAATTGATTGTCTGGAGTATCTTGCTACATATGTGAGAGATGATGTGCAGCAATTTGAACACAGAAGATGAGTACTGAAGGTACTCTGAAAAATTTCAACTACTTTATTTCCACTTAGTAAAATATTAATAAACAGATCATGACAATATGGTGTCCTGTCGGTGTTTCTTGTAACTGAAAGCTGACCAGCTTGCAAATTTAAAATAGGAAATGTGAGCAGAATATAAAAAAATTTCAGTTTCTCTGAAGTCATGCATGTGATCCTGTCACCTCTGTTGCACACAAACCAAAATCCTATACCAATCTTGCTCCCTTTGTTCATTCTCTTATTATGCTGCTATTAGATTCTGAGTCCCTGAAGTTTTAAATAACTGGAATTTATATTTCCAACTGAATTTAATTCAGCTTGAATTTATTTTGTTGATGGTAGTAAGTCAGAACTTGAATAATTTTCTAGTTTCAAGAAAAATGTGTTGCAACAGGCACATAGAAACACTTTGTAAAAGATCTATTGAATATAGATGAATAAGTGGAGTTGGTTTTGTTTGTTTCATAGGTCTACCTCGATCTCGTAGTCAGACGTGCCTGCCTGAACTGTTAAGATTTCTGGGACAAAATGTACATGCGAGGAAAAACAAGAACGTTGATATCCTTTGGCAAGCTGCTGAGGTATTTATTCATCTAAGCGTATCTGCATAGGTCACCTGATTTTCTGTATGCATATGTATTTGCCCCTTTTTTTATTACTGATACATTTGAATTTCTTCTTTTACTTGCATGTAGCTGCTGGGCTAGACCTTCTCTATCATGAGGAGATAATATGTATTTTTCATATCAGAATTTTCCCCTCAACTCATACAATGAAGTTCTGCTCTCTCAAACATGCCAAACTTTGACATTTGACAAAGCCCTACACAACATTTGTGTCTCTCTAAGGGGGAGTACAGTTGTTTTCTGTACTTCTGCATGTAGAAGGAGTGATGGATTGTCTGTCTCATTTCTAGATATGCCGCAGACTTAACGGTGTTCGATTTACGAGCTGTAAAAGTGCCAAGGATAGGACTGCCATGTCCATCACCCTGGAGCAGTGTTTGATCCTACAGCATGAACATGGAATGGCTCCACAGGTCTTCACTCAGGCTCTGGAGTGTATGAGGAGGTAAGAGTTTGACCACATCACTTATTCCTAGATAAGGAACCATGCAAACTGCAGAGGAGTGGTGGTCTCTGTTTCCATCAAAAGAAAAAAAAAAATAAACTAAAGTCAGGAAACTGTAGATTCATCCCTCCCATGCATGTGAGTTGCATATGCTAAAGCTGATTCTCACCAGATTTAAATCAGATGGGCTTGAATTTTCAGTAGAAAATGAAGAATTCTCAGACAAGCATGTAAAAATATGTTTCCTGTTAATGCTGAGCTTATGGAACAGGAAACTGGTGCTTTTTTGAAAGTTGTTTAATGACTTTACCTGACCTGTCATAGCACTAGGTTTCTTAGTTCTAGATCAGGGAGATTACTCAGGGATGACTTGTCTTTTGTTCTTTGAAACACAGACACCTGCAGTTTGCACTGGTTTGCCACATGTATTTAGCAGTGAAACACTGCTCACTGGGTGAAATGTCAGTATGAGTGTTTCACACTACAGCAATCAAATTTCATCACAACATGTCAGTGTGCTGTTGTCGTATCAATATAATGATGTTCTGTATTCTGAAGCAGCAGAGATGTTTGCAGAATTAAGTACTGTACTTAAAAAAAAATAATAAAATCTGTTTACTGTTGTTCAATGCCTTGTTTCAAGCACTGCTGGAAAACTCCGTAAGTCACATACCAAAAGAAAGGATAAGAAATCTAGCTTTAGTCTTTATCAATGTAGTTCAACAATGCTGTTCAGTCCTGTTTTTCAACATTCACTCTTATTGAATGTACTGTACTGTGTGTCTTTTCACCAAATTCTCTAGAGTGTTCAATTCTCTTATCCTTTCTGTATGTTTTTGCTGTTTGACCCTTTCTTACTCTTCAGTTACCTTGAAGAAAAATGTCTCATATAATCACACTTGCAGCCTCTAACACTAGTAATTTGGGGGTTTATATGTACATCTAGTTGGGTAGCACTGAACTTTTTTATTTTCATTTTTTTGCTGCACTTTTTGCTACATTGTCACAGACTTAGTACACTACGCAGTGCACTCAGAAACTACTTAACCTAAAGATTAGAAACAAAACTTGAAACAGCTTTGTGAAGGAGAATTTACTAACTTAAAATGGACTAAGTGGTTTTCAAATATCTTTATTTAAATTATACAGCTTGTTGACATAGACATCTGAAACTGTTATACAGTTTCCTAATTGTGTATTTAATAAGAATAATCCCAACTAGGAAAAATACTGGGAATCTTGTTACTTTCTTCAAATTCTTTTCTGGGTCACTGGGTTTTTTTTAATGCAATCATGGACACAATAGAGAGAGGTTAATAATAACATTTGGTCCTTCAGTCTACCAATTTAATATAACACAGGATCAGATGAAATATTGACCCAAGAAAAATACTGCTTTGTGTTGACTATTTGTGTTTCATTATCAGCAATATTGAAAGAGGGCAAATTTCATCAAAACCTTTGGCTTGAGTGTTCTACCAACATCAGGGACTTGCTCTGGCAGGTGAAGGACATGGCTCTTTCTTCTGTTAAATCTGACTAAGAGAGATTGTGCAGGACAAATACTGACTAGACTAGAAGGAAAACCAAGATTAGACCGTTCTTCAAGCCCATCACTCTTCCTCACATCTTATTGCTCTTTGTGATAGGTGGTTGTGTTTTTTAAAATTATTTGTCAATTCTACTCATGAACAATGGCGCAGAATTAATAAAGTTTAATGAGAGAGATAGGATTATGGAACAAATATGTAGGAGTCCAACTCCACCAAATCTCATTCCAGCCTGAACAGTTTGATTTGACCTTGATGACAGACACAGGATAAGAAAGGGTAGCAAATTTTACCCAAATTGCTTCCATGGCATTCAGAAAACTTGGGTTTTGTTCTTTTAACTTGAATCTTTTATTTAACTATTTATTTAACTATTGGAAAAAGAGCGTTTGGCTCATTCTTAAAGACTTTTGAAGTTTCTGAGGCATTTGGAAGGACAGGGAAGAAGTACAAATAATTTGTGAGACTCGAAGTATTTAGTCTCTTCTGTACTGACACCTTCCCAAAGAAGAAAAATGTCCTTGCTTATACCATTCTTGAAAAAATTAAGAAAACATCATCTTCTCCCATGTGATGTTGGTCTTCAGAGGTCTTAGTTCCCTCTTACTTGTCCTCAGGGACTTCCTTTCTTTCCTAGTCTTATGATAATTATGTATCTGTGATAACTGTGTTCAGTGAGCAGGGACATCAGGGAGAAAACATGGAGTGTTCTTCTAGATTCTTGTAGAAATTTACAGATACAAGTTTGTGGCTTTCACCTTAGAAACAAATACACTGTTAGAATAAACTAATTTTCTGTAGATAAGTTACAGCTTTTCCAGTCCTAAATCAAACACACAGTAACTCCCAGCTCACAAATAGTAAAATCATGATGATAAGTCTGCAAATCCAAGCTAAGAGGACATGGCTACCTGACCAGTAAAGGCAGAACAAGATTCAAAGTCCAGGTGGTTCAGGTAGCCTCTTCCATCTGCAGCCCACGCTTCTCACTAGATCTTTGACTCCCTGCACTCCTTCCTGCCAGGTTCCTGTCCTGTCAGAAATGTCAGTGGAGCTCTTTGTGGGAATATGCTCTAGGGCAGTTTCAGTCAAGATCATCTGGGTAGCAAAATCCTTTACATGTTTCAAGTAGCCCAGCTCATTTTCATTAAAGGAATTAGGAAGGTGAAACATAAGCAATTTAGCAACAGAGAAGAACCATCTCTGATGGGGGCTCTTGAAAAGCAGTTGGAAACGAGGTGAAGAAAATCACCATGGTGCTGACTGAAAAGATTACATAATAAAGTCCTAGGAGTCATGTTTGGGTATGACCACTACTGCAATTAAACAGCTATAATAAAAAGCTTGGTTGGATTTCTTCTCTGATTGATATGCTTTAAGAATAAAATCATATTGAGTTGAACTAGACCACGTGGTAGATGTCCACCCAGCTGCTCACTACCTTCCTCCAACAGGACAGGGGGAAAAAATATGTGAAAAAGCTTATGGGTTGAGATAAAGACAGTGAGATCTCTTGCCAGTTACTGGTACAGGACTGACAAAACAGACTAAGACAATTTTTTATTTATTCCCAGTGGATTGGGGTTGCTAAGAAATAAAGATGAAAATTAAAAACCTTGCCCTCCGTTTCCCTTCTTGTCCTTAGCCAAAGTATTCCACTGCTTCTTTCTCAGCTCTTTTACCTCCTCCCCATGCTGAGCAATGCACAACAGACGTGGAACAGGGATTTGCAGTCAGTCCATAATAGGTCTCCTCTGCTCCTTCCTCCTTGCACTCATCCTCCACTCCAGTGTGGGTCGTTCCCATGGGCTGCAGTCCTTCAGGATGAACCTGCTCCTGCATGGGTTCTCCATAGTTTTCAGTTTCCTTCAGTAAATATTTATCTGCTGCTCTATGGGACCTCCATGGCTATAATGTTCCTCTCCATGACTGCAAGGGAAACTGCTTCAGCTCTTTCTCCTCTCCTTCCCTGACTCTGCTCATAGGGCTTTTTCTCAGATCTCTTCCCATCGCTCTTCACTGCCATGCAGTGCTTTGCCTTTTCTCACACACTCCTTCCCTGAGGCACCAGCATGGCTGAGGGCTCAGCTGTGCCAGCAGTGGGTCACTGAAGCTGGCTGGAACCAGCAGTGTCCAGCATGGGTAGCCCCAGCCTCTCGTCACAGAGAGAATTCTCATATGCAAGCTAAATTAGAAGGGAAGTTTCTGTGTCTCCTAACCCTAGTCCTCTTCTAGAGGTAGTCTGCTGATGAATCTTTTGATTTAAGACACTGTACAATTTGGTATATTTGATATTTCCAAAAGGTGACTTTTCACCCCTTGGAGGGAAGCATCTACATGGGCCAACAGTGACAAGGAAAGCACTTTCCAGCTCTTGCCTCCATTCCCACCATATGTGTCTGTGTATACATCTTCGTGTAAAATTGAGTAGCATGATACTAATTTGTAATGGTGGAGATGTGGCATGTGATGTTCATAATGCTAATTTAGCATTTTTAGCCTTCCTTCTTTCCCATTGTTTTACATTTTATCTATATTCTAAAACACTTTTCTTCCTCCAGACTTTTTCATTGAGCCTGTATCCACCACTTTCCAGTAAGCACTAGGTTTCCACTGGCTGATTCTCCTGATCACTCACACACACACACACACTCTCCCCTCTCCCCTCTGTTACAAAGGATAATTGAGATTTGTAGGCATCACAGATTCAATCTGCCCTTGTCCACTGTAGGCACCAGGAGTGAAAACATCTTCATCACCAATTTGGATCAAATCCAAATCAGAAATACAGTTGGTTTAGTTCCCTGTCCACCTAATTCCATTTAGCTTGATGTGTCACCAGCATCTGAATGCTCTTTTTTACCACTTCCAGGGTGTATCTGATTTCTTGCAGGACACTGATGCTTACATAACCCTGCTACACAACCATCAGGCTTATAGATGGTTTGTTATGGATGGAGCAAGTGCACAAGCACTAACAGCATCAGGCTTACAGACTGTGTTTAGAATCACAGAATCAAAGAGTTGAAAGGGACCTTGAAGATGATCTAGTTTCAACACCCCTGCCATGGACAGGGACGCATTCAATTAGACCAGGTTGATCAAACTGCCATTCAGCCTGGCCTTGAACACTCCCAGGGATGAGCATCCGTGGCTGTCTCATCATCTTTACCAGGAGTAAAGAATTTTTTCCTTACATCTAATCTAAACCTGTTCTCTTTCACTTTGAACTTATTCCCCCTTGCCCTGTCACTACATGCTCTTGCAAATAGTCTTTCTCCCTCTTTCTTGTATGCTCCCTTCTGGTACTGTAAGGTTGCAATTTGGTCACCCCTAAGCCATCTCTTTTCCAGGCTGAACAATCCAAATTCTCTCAGCCTCTGCTTGTAGGAGAGGTGTTCTATCCCTCTGTTCATCTTGGTCATTTAGTTGTTGCTTTGTGAACTAAAAATAGAGTTGGGGTGCTCAGGGTATAAGAGTGATCCAAAATTAAGGACCACATGACAAAGTGTACCAGGCTACCTGAGGAGTTGTTCTTCACTGTAGCCTTTGGTGCTCAGTGTAAGAAGTGGAATACACAATGAGATGGGCTTTGCAGCATGTCTTCAGAAAAATGCCTATTGGTATACCCTTGAATTCATGTCCAAGCAGAAAAATAGGTGGGTGGTTTGTTTTTTTTTTTATTAATGTGTTGGATAGGTAGTTAAGAGGTTAAATTAAATCACTGCAGCCCATGGAAAGATGTTTGAAAGGGTCAAATACTACAATGGTTATTCATGTTCAGCTTGCTTTTCAGAGCTCCACTTCTTTGCAGCATGCCAACGCATGGCAGAGCAGCATGGGGTATTATTGCTTTGTAACCTGAAAGAATGAACATGGAAAACCATTAATGTTCAACCTACATGTGTTTATTTTCACTAGACTACAGTACTTCTTTCTTATTTTTCTCTTTTATTCTCTTTCCCTCTCCTTATTTCTATAATTATACTGATACATATTTTTGAGATGTTTTTCCACTCTTTCTTTACTTCATCTTCTGGTTTTGTTGTGCGTTCTTCCATGTTTTCTCATTTTCCTGACCACCTTGTGTTGCCATCTCTTTTTATCCATTCATTTGCATGTCCGTCTTCCTTTCTGTTTTATTTTCCCTCTTCCCAAACTTCTTCCTTTTCACAGCATTGGAACACGGGAGATAGTCACCCAGAAGAACTTGAGTGGCTTGGTGCCCATCCGAGATTTCAGACTAGATCCCAGCCTCCTCTACTCTATTCCTTTATTAGCTCTCAGCCCCAATTTACTGATTGTGTGGCTGTTTCTGAGCATAGCATACCTGGTGGCCAGATTACGTTGCAAGTGAAGATAGAGTTCAAAAACAAAAAAGAAAAAAGAAAAAAAAACCAACAAAACCCACAAAAAAACCAAAAAAGTGCTTGAATGTGTATTGCCACTTGGTACCTGCTGGACAAAGGAATGTGTCATAGCATTGTCTGCCAAGAATTATTATTATGCCTTACAATTTTACGTTTCTATTGTACTAAACTGTAAATATACATCAAATTATTTTATCAAAAAGAATTGTATTGAAACTTTAAATTATTGTTCTGCTTTCAGTGCTTGTAACATAGTTTGACATTGGCCTGTTACCTCGTTACTTTAGCCGGCCTGAAGATCTCTTACCAAATACAGTTTTGTGTTACTTGTTTCATGTATTCCAGAGAAAGGAACTCTGTCTGAAAAGAATTTATATCTTTTTTGTATATTTAAGGTGTATGCTAATCTTGCCTTTCATTTTTATGAGGTATGAAGAGAAAAATTTAAACATGGGTGGGGTTTATAAGAAATTGTAAGAAATTTATTTAAAGAAGCAACAAATTTATACCTTAATTTCAAAGCATAATATCCAAATTACATTACTGAACAGTTTGTAGAACCATAGTCTTGTTCCTTTCTCATGGTTAAGTATATTCTAGTAGGCTAGAAAATACTCAGAAAACAACTTGCAGTGTGCTGCATGCAGAATTATTTCATTCTATTTGTAGATCTGCAGTTTGCAATGTATTAAAGACATGAAGAGAATGACTTGTGGTTAGGAAGGGAATGTGACTGGCATTAGCCTGCTAATGAGCCATTATCTATTTTAGGTGCTCTGTTATAGAATTTATTGTGAAATAGGGCCATTGTAGAAGTTAAAGATAATGGTCTTAAATTTTCAGGCAAGAAGAGGGAGGTATCAGTTAACTCCTTTAGTAGGTGGGTTTCAGGTTTTCCACTGGGCTTTATTTTAATTTCATTAGACTAAATATTACTGTTACTTCCATTTTTAAGCGTTGCACAGCTTTAATAAATTATGATGCTGATAGTGACTTAGTGATAAGCGAGTGATGGTAAGTTAACATTTATTTAAGTGGTGAGACTAAAGTGGCTTCCTAGTTTAGTCATGCAGAGTAAGTGCAGATTAAATTTGATCATCATTTATATATAACATCAAACTAGGGGAGGCCTATTTAAATGGAAAGATTTTGTTGATGCTGTGGTCTGGCAGAGCTTTTCAATAGCAATAGCTGATAAAAAAAAAAATAAATTCATAAAGGGTTTTACTTCGCTTGGTGCCTGAGATGACATTGGGCTTCTGAGGAGAACTAGTACTGTGATTTGTATTTTCTACTATTATTAACTTGCTCAAAAAATATAGGTAGCTTTAGCTTTTATTATAAATTTTAATGGAATTGAGAGCTGCTGAGAGAAGTATGCTGAAATATAAAACCAAAAAAGCACAGTTAGAAAAAAAAATCAGAATTAAATCCTAAATTTGGATTTAATTATTCTAACTAAAAAAAAAAATAAGTGTGTGTGGTTATATTTGTGTCTTCATGAAATCAGACTGTACAGTACACTATCTCTTAATATTTTTCCTCACTATTCTTCCAATTTTGTTTTAAAAAGGCAAACAAAAAAAAACAACAAAAAACCAACAAAACAAACCACCACGAAGACATATATGTTTATATATCTATATCTATCTATATATATAAAGCACGTATCCTATTTTTACTTTCAATGTTTCAGTACATCCTTACTGCTGTTGAGGTTTATCCTGATATGGTGGTTTGGGACACATCCATGTGCTGTGCTGGTATCTGATGCTTCTGTGTCTCCATAGAAATCATCTGTTCTTTATGGTTAGCACTGGTTTGTTTGCTGTGGATGCCCCACTCAACATTTTTACAGAGTCAGGTTGGACATAGCCTTGATCTTGCAATGTGTGGAGTGTCCTGGGTTCAGTCTACCCAGATGTGAAAGTAACTTTAGATTGACAGGGTATCCTGAGTTGGAAGGGATCCACAAGCATCAAGGATCAGATCCTGGCTTGGCACAGGACAGCCACAGGTATCCCCCCATGTGCCTGAGAGCTCTGTCCAAATACTTCTTGCTCTCTGGCAGACTTGGGGCCATAAACACTTCCCTGGGCAGCCTGTTCCAGTGTCCAGCCACACTCTGGTGGCAGGCATATTCACTGAACTCCCTGAGAATATCAATACTTCATATTAAAGTATGAAGGTGCTGCTCATGATTACTACTAGGGTTGCAGAAAGACCACCTTAAAACAGTTTAGAATGAAAGCCCAGGCTTTTTGAAAACAATGTAGATTTTTTTCTTTTCTTCTTAAACTTTGATGGGGACAAGTTTTTTGGTTTTTTTTTCCCTTTTGGAGCCTGGCCTGTGCTTTTATCAAGGCATTCAGATTTAAGATGCAGTAGTGCATCCTGCTTATGTGCTTCCAAGAGAAGGAAGACGACGTGAAATCTGGGAAATGAATCCTTGTCACTTATCTGCACCATGAGGGACACGTGCAATAACCAGATGCAGTGAAATGTGTTATGAAGAGAATGATTCACTTTGCAGTTAAAATGCTCACCTAGCATCACATATTTGCTAGTTAAACTTACTGCTTTTATTAGTAGTCTGAAGTATGATTTGTGCAAACTTTTGATGTATCTATTTGGCTGCAAGAGCCATCGGGGGAGTTTTGTGAAACACAAACCAGTGCCAGTGAAACAAGTGTCACCACAGATGATCCATTCTATAAACGGCAAGCACAGAATGTGCTCCAGAGACAAATTTCAAACTTAGTTAAACTGTTCCTTAAAAAAAAAAAAAAAAAAAGAGGCTGTATTTTATGAAGTTAAACTAGGTGTTACATACAGAATACAGTTACAGCCAGTTTCATGAACCAAAATTAGAAGAACGGTGAGGTCTGTAAGAGCATGAGAGCTTTCAAACTGAACCAGAATCCAAACCCTCCTTTTGAATCAGATGATCTCAGCTTAACCTGGTAGATGCTGCAGCCATCTCCAAGGCAGGACTAATGTGGTATTTCCACTGTAAGATGCTGTACTGTACACTTTGCCGTGAAGGTCTAGTATTCGTTGTTTAGGTTCCAGTCCTCAATCAGGGAAAGACATTCTCCTGCAAGCCTAAATTGATTTATAATATATATTTAAAAGATAGTGCTTCCTCTTTGTATGTCTGTTTTTTGGATATAATCAAAGGAACTCTGAATTAGATTTACAAGTGTAAAGAAGCCTTATAACTGGAGTAGTTTTCTATTGTAGCACAGAACCTCTTTGTAATGTGGGACAGTTGCACCAAAACATTGGGTGAAAATTAAATTCTGCACAGCTTTGTTTTTTTGGGGTGATGACTGTCAATGCAGCCAGTCTTTTTTGCACTGCTATTTCATGATTAGGAATTTTTTTTAGATTGTGTTGGTTTTCACGTCCATTTATGCATGCAGAGATAACTGGAAAGTCATACATTATTTTTGTATCAGCTCTAATCTTTAAGTAAGTACTTATAATACTGACATGCAGGGAATAATAAAATTACTTTAAAGCTCTTATAGACAGATCAGCAGGTTTTGGTTTTCAGCTTTATGTGTTAATAAACTAGCAGAACTGCTTTTAAGCAATCCCTTGGGATCCCTTGTGCAGTGGATGGCATGTGAACTCCACAACAGTGTACCTTGAAATACATGAAACCGACGTGAAAGAACCTTTTCAGTAGATGTGCTGCTGCTTTCTAGAAATGCAAAACTAGCAATCAGACATAGCTTGTGTCCATTCTGTGTGCTTCTTACCAGCATTGTATGATAAGTCATCTCTTTTAATATTTGCAGTGGCAAATTAATTAAACGCTCATTCAATATAACCAACTTTATTTTAAAGCTATAAAATAACCAGTTCATTTCATCTTAGTTTAAGTCTTTTTTCTTTTTTTTTTCCCCTTTTACTGCTGTCATTTTTTGTGCTTGTTTTTTTTCCCCAGTGAGGGTTGTCGCCGAGAAAATACAATGAAGAATGTTGGATGTCGCAAGTATGCATTTAATTCCCTGCAACTGAAGGCTTTCCCAAAGTATTACAGGCCTCCAGAAGGAACTTATGGAAAAGTTGAAACATAAGCATACTATGTCCTTTAATTGCTGTTCCATTAAAACATGTGGATACACTCTAGATTAACACATGGTTTTGTCATCCAGAAGAGATAAATAACCTTTTTGTACGTTTCGCTAGGTCATACAGAGCATGTTACCGAATTGGAATCTATAGTAACAGTTATTCTGACACCTTAGCTTGAGAATAGTGTGATGACTCTCTGCCCGTTTCAATAGCCTTCAGTGTATGTAAGATGAGCAGATATTGTGCTACTTAATTATTACCTATATGCAAATAGCTAGGTACCTCCTGGATGGGCAAGGACTCTAGGATCGGCATTTAGGCAGCTGTTTCCATAACATCTTTTTATACTGAGTTGATTTGAGATTGAGCTTTTCCTAAACTTTTTAAAACTGAGAGTAAAAGTCAAAACTTGTAAATAAAAAGGATCCTAGACAGTTTAGTAACTGTAGAACATTGTTACAATCAATAAAAGGGGGTTTAATGGGAAAAAAAAATCAGCACAATAAGAGTCAGGAAAAAGAATTGTTTTACTGTATATAGGATGCCATCTTCATGTATGAAATTAACAATATATAGAAGGCCAGACATGTGAGGTGCGGTTTATAACTCTGTTCAAACAAAACAACTTCCTGTCATCTTTGGCAGGTAAGGCCTTGGGCACACAACTGATTTTAAAAAGTACTTCAGAAACATCATGATGCTTAACTATTAATGCCAGCAAACAGTTCCCCCCCATGCCCTTCCCCACTCTAAGACAAGTGCAGCAAGCAAATAGCTGATGTTGCACATGACATTTTCAGTACATTCCATGGTGTTGTACATTAATTAACGCATTTTTGCCCATGGTTTTTTTATGTCACTTCTGGATTGTAAGCATTAGTATCTCGGGGTGTTACATTATTTTGGTCAGCGTGCGATTTTTCTGTGTCGGTTTTGTACGTCATTACAAAAATACTCAAAGTGCCCGGTGCAACCCCCTTGCTCCAAATTCCAAACTGGTTTCTGTTTACCTTTGCATTTCACCTGTTGAGAATCCTGGTGGGCAGAAGTGTGAGCGGTGTCAGGGTGTTTCTGAGGAAGGTAGCAATGCCCTGTGATGACAGAGGGGAACTGCTCAGTGCTACTGCTTGTGCCTGAGAACCACGGGTGGGTTCTAGCTTATGACAAAGGTGGTCAGTTGGATAGCATTTGATAAAAAAAAGTTCAACAGATCTCCTCCAAAATAATCTCCCAAAGAACGCCTTCGAAGCTAAGATAGCATTTTAAAAAGCAGCTAAACATTCATTTCCAAATTTTAACAAGATCCAGTAATCTCTAGCTAGATTCATTCATTACACTGTCCTTTCCTTCTTGGTTTCTAAGGATCTAAGTTTTAGAATAGAAAAAAATCTGCCCATTTATTCTTGTGGGAGTAGCAACAGCCAGGTAAGTATATGGCTGTTTTCTGATTTCTTTCTCCCTCTCACTGATGTTTGTCTGTGCTGTCACTGCTCTATCAATCAGCCATGTTCATTCTGCTCCCATGTAGGTTTGGGGGTTACAGGTCCAGCAGTTTTTGCATTTTGCTTTTTGCAGTTTAACACTGAGCAGCATGTCTCTAAGCCAGGTCAGAGAGTTCTGCTGAACTAGGCTGTTACCATTATTTCAGACTCTTTAGGATAACAAAACATGGAACTCCGTGCAAAAAAAATGTATTGTAGAACCTACCCCAGGTCTGAACGAATCATCTATAGTAGAACAGTCCCTTGGAAATGTTAAAAACCCTGTTTGACAAATAATAAATGTTGATTCTGTTTTATTTTTTGCTAATAAGTAAACAAATATACGATAAAAAAATTTTCAATGGAATCTCTTTAGACATGTTACTCCATTAGTTCTGCTCAGCCTTCAGTCCCTGGCCCATTATTAAATGCTACTTTATTTTTGTATAAACTATGCTCTTTATATCCCTCTGTTTTTATGAGTTGATAATTTTATTTTGTATATTTCAAACATAGTTAATTTTAAGTCCTGTATTGTTTCACTAAAAATCTTGCGATGTTCAGCTTCAGAAGGAAATAACAAATGTCTCTTGTAGCAATTAGCAGCGCCACCCTCTTAGATGGTGGCCAACAATCATTAGGCCTGCTATAGAGCTTAGCAATCCTTTATTTATTTTGTATGGCAATGTAATCTGAAGAAGTTGCTGAATTTTGTCTGCGCGTGGCGGAGCCGCGGCGCCGCGCGGTTGTGCCCGGGGTGCTGAGCTGGCCTGGGCACGGCACTGCCAGGACGGGCACGGCTCCGGCTCCTCCCGAGGGCAGCGCCGACTGCGAGGGCTCCAGCGGCTCTTCCAGAGAAAACTGTGATGTGTGAAATCCACATGGGACCCTCACAAGGGGGAAGGGAGCTTTTCTGTTGCACAGGAGAGGCGAATCTAAGGATTACTGTAAAATGAAGTTCTGTCTAATGTTCCTTTTTTGAGTACATTTTTTAAATTATAAAACATACAAAGGTAAAAGAAGAAAACTGTTGCCAAGTATGTTCTGTGTATGTTCTGTGAAAGTACCTACAGCACAGTTGCCTTTTTTTCATTTATACGTGTAAAATTATTGTATAATATGACACAGTTTTGTCCCAACACGACTGTATTTGCCAAGCTTTGTGCATTGAAATATTTTTATTTATTTGGTTTTGGGCAGTATTAATATATCATAAACATATGGCTACTGTTTTATATATTCTAGTTCATCCAATCCATGTATGCTGTAAATGTGCTAGTCTTTAGGATGAAAACCAATAAAGAACTGACAAGAATAACGATGGTGGCTTACTTTTAATGCTTTCGTGGTAAGTGAAAATAAACACTTTCAGGCTCCTTGACTTTTGATACACTTTCATCTGTTGGAGAACATATAAAGCCAAGTTGTGTAGGGAGACATTTTACACAGATGTGCAAGTCAGGAAGTAGTTACTTCTAACCCCTGCTAGAGAACAGCTGCTACCAATTTTCTGTAGCTAAGTGAGGCACCAGCTTGTCCCACATGCTACACATTGTGCAGCAGCAGTTAAATAAAGAAGTGATACAAGGTATTTTTCTTCCTTAATTTTATCTGCTTTCTCTGTGAATATTCTGTGAGAGCTTCCTGAGTTTTCTTCTCAGTTCTTTCACTTTTCCTTCCGTTAGCAGAATTTTTCTCTACTGCTTCCCATTGTGCCAACTCATCCCTCCAGCAGCTTTAGCAGTTGGGCTGCTTTTCAACAGGGACAGGTTATCCTTGTTGATGGTCATTTTGATTTCAAATTAAATAAAGTTTATATAATAGTGTAATAGACAATAATTCAGAACATTCTGATTTCTGTAATATACAAAGAATAGAACACAAAAACATAATTATGTTTCCACTGGGAGTTTGAGAGCTGCCAAACAGAATTTTCTTTGTGTGAAAGAGGGCTGAAGAGCATTGGTGGAGCTCACTGAATTAGTGAGCTTTTAGTTATATAAAAGGAAAAACAATAGAAGATAAAAACCCACACTGCTTTCATTCAAAATGCAGAAGAAGAAGATGCTTGACAGGTAGGAATTCCTGAATTGCAAATGCAAAATGCATCTGCATATATGCACATATATATCTCCAGGTTTCAAAATTCCTAATTAGTGTTTAAAAAGTATCTACCAGTTATTAATCTTACTTTTAAAATGTGGGGTGTTTAAAAAATGGTTGAAAA